CCTCACAAACAAGGGGGCGCCTCCCTCCTGGGCCTGACTCCTTGGCTGTGGAGTGTGGGACAGATGGTAGCATCTCCTTAAGCTTCCCATTTTATTAAGCATCAGAGCTTTCGTGTTTATGTTAAAATGTCCTGCTTGTTAACTTGCACTTGGAGCTTGTTTTTTTTTTAAGACCTTGCTCTGTCTTGATATTTTGCTCCTATATTTGGCCCCATTCCCCAGTATTCCTCTATTTCACTTAAATCTAGAAAAGTTAACCTCATTGCCACATTTTGACTCTGCAACTTGGTTTTGTACTCTTTTTTTTTGAGGAAGATTAGCCCTGAGCTAACATCTGCTGCCAATCCTTCTCTTTTTGCTGGGGAAAATTGGCCCTGAGCTATCATCTGGGCCCATCTTCCTCTATTTTATTTGTGGGACGCCTGCCACAGCGTGGCTTGATGAGCGGTGCGTATGTCCGTGCCTGGGATCTGAACCGGTGAACCCCGGGCCGCTGAAGTGGAGCATGTGAACTTAACTGCTGCGCCACCGAGCCGGGCCTTACTGTTTTCTTCTCTAATAGTCACACTTGGGGGATTCAGACTTACTGTGCAGAAGCCTCCTGAATTTACGTTTGCTCTTCAGTCTCCAGAAGGTCAACTATTGCTGAGATAATTTCATTACAGCAAGAATAATTTTCAAATAAAGAAAAGTTAAAAACTCAGCGTATAGCCACTAATTACACAGAGTGGAATTGGGGCAGCTTCTTGTAGTTCACGGCCCTTGGGTAGATTCCTTTCGTGTCCCTGCACTGCCCCAGAAGTCCTTCAGTTGGCTTCTTAGTTCTCTCTTTCTCTCCATTGTCATCTTGCTTTTCTCTCTGTCCTCGTTTTCCTTCCTAACCATAGTGGTTTCTTCCAGTCTGTGTCCATGGTGGCCTTATCCTGCCATCATTCCCTCCTCCCTTCCTCTATGCTCATCTGTGTCTGTGATTGTCTTTCCTTCTAGATGCCTCGTTAGGATAGGAAACTTGAGTTGTCTGTGAGTCTAGTCTAAGAAGGAAAAGTCAAGATTTCTGATCTAATCACTCTTTACCCCATGATCGGTTGACATACTGTGTATTAGAGTTTTTAAACAGGATTTTAGAGTTTTCAGCTGAAAGGAACTTCATATCATTGCAACAGCAAGAAAACCAGAGTCCTCCTTTTTGGACAAAGAACCCTGAAGCCGATGGAGGTGAATGACCAGCCCAGGTTTCCACAGGGGTTTGCCGAGAGTCCTCTCTGGGCTCTGCCCTGTCTGTACTGTGCACGTGGCCCCTGATCGGATCTGTAGTTGTCTGGTCACTGTGTGTTTTTGCTCCTTCTACTGGATTGAAGACTTATTTTCTCTGATCCTACTGAGGAGTGCTCTATACTCCTTAGCTTCAGAAGTGGCCTGCAGCCTTGGTTGCGGCACCTTGTAACAATTGGGCCCTGGGCTTGACCTGGAAGTCAAAGCCTTCCATGGAGAGGCATGTTGGACCTTCTGTGGGATCAGTGAATATGTTCACGTGAAGGTGGTGTTTTCATATTATTCGTGTAAATCAAGTTGAATAGTGTCATTTTCTAATCACTGTTCCTAGATTTCAGACCTTATATAATAGCTAACGATTTGCTATCATTTTTTTTAAGGGCTGAACATTTAAACAACTCTATCCGTTCAGTGTTAGGAGTGTAAAAAATAAAATACTCTGCTGGTGGGAGGGCTGAGCCTGTCACTTCACTGATTGGTCCATTTGATGATTTCTACAGGAGCAGTTTCTTCAGGAGAGAATCAAGGTGAATGGAAAGGCTGGGAATCTCGGTGGAGGGGTTGTAACCATTGAGAGGAGCAAGAGCAAGATTACTGTAACTTCTGAGGTGCCTTTTTCCAAAAGGTATGGTGGGAGATGAGTGTTGCTTGCCTGCGTCCTAGCACTAAGATTCCCACCCTCGCCCCGGACAGGAATGTTGCTGCCTGCAGAGGAATTTGTTTTGTGGTTGCATCCGTTAATTTCTGGAACAATGCCCAGTGCAAGGAGGCAGTGAATGAATGAATGTTAACATGGTACTTAAAAGTATTCAACTTTTGGTAGTTGTAAAAATTTTGTTTTGCGCAGGCTGCAAAGTATTTTCAAGTATTACTGCTTGAAAGACACTCAGAATTCCTTAGACTGTGTTCTTAAAAATGAAGATATTGCTTCCTCTGCCTCTAGATCATAGTGAAGAGCTTTCAGTTTTAATTCTGTTATTGTTTTTCCTGTAAGTGCCACTATAGCTGGATGAGGACTCTGACATCTCAGTTCAGACTGCAGTCGCTCCATTTAGTGCCTGTGAGCACGTTTTGCCCCCAAGTCAGATACATCAGTTCACTTGCTCAGCTGTATTATACAGTTTTTGTTTTGAGGATAAGGTTAAAACACTTCCCAAGTCACTAAAGAATTGGACGTGTGCATACTCAGCTCCTAGCCCAGAGCCTGGCATGTTGTATGAGGAGCTCTGAATCAAACTGAATCAAGTAGTGGGAAATTGGAAGATGTGTTGGGACAAAATGGTGATAGTTAAGCCTTTGCTTTTATTTTTAACTAAATCGGTCACGAGATGACTTTAAAGCTTTGCTGAAGTACTCGTATTCTGCCGGCTGAGTTATGTGCAGAAGGCAATGTGCGAGAGAGACCCGTGCACCTGGGACTTGCTAGGCTTCCCCAGAGCCCTTGGGGAAGGTCTTTCTGGGACCCGTTTTCCGTCTCCTAACACGTCGCACTTCAGTTTTCACAGATATTCTCTTCTTTACCCAGCGGAGCAGGAAAGGAGCCTTAATCTTCTGTTAAAGTTTGCCTATCTCGATGATAATAGTTTTATGTTCATGAAACATTCAAGGTGTTCCTAATCTAGAACTTTTTCTTGCTCGTCTCTGAACTTCTGCAGCTTTTTACCCCAATATTCTATTATGAAAATTTTCAAACCACTGGAACTTTTGAATTAATTACCTCACCTGAATACAATGTGGTAGAAATAATAAATGAACAAGAAGAATACTTTTTAGATGGAACGACCAAATTGATTTATTTTTATGTAGGGAAAAGTGGATAGAATTGAACTGAGATCTTCACATCTCTGTGAAGATTGCTTTGTTGGCATAAGTAACACTGTTGAACAGTATTCATTTCTTGGAGATGGTGAGTTTCTTGGTTCATTATCATTCGGGTCCTTGCTAATATGTCAGAGGTTGCCTGTGCTTCTAATTTAGTCCTCATAACTGTTTGAAGAGATGTTAAGTATCATGAGTCCCATTTTATAGAGAGGGAAACTGAGGTTCGGGAAGGTTAATTTTCCCAGCAGTGTGTTTGCTTGGCTTTTGTACCCTCTTCTCTGTATGGCTTTGGGAAGATGCTGGAATAGATAATATTCCAGGGGCTCGTAAGCAGACAGGTGGGAGAGGAAACAACGTTGCGGGTGTTAGGTTGAGCACAAAAGCCCTTGCTGCCCTTATAGAAATAGCAGGTTTCCTAACGGGCAGTTTGTGGTGGTGACTGCTTAGCTGTCACCCAGGCTAAGGCTGCGGTTGGGCAGACAGGCTGAGAAGGCTGGGTGCTCTCCCCGCAGAGCTGGAGCGCCTGCAGTGGCGGGGGTGCCCCTGTTCCGGGACGTTGGGTAGTGAGCGCCACATGTTAGAGGTGAGAGTGTGTAACAGTCCCAATAAGCAATCTTGATAACCTGAGCAACCTCAGGGAGGCTTGGATCAATGAGGTGATGTATGGAAAGTGCTTGGAGCTCGTTGGAAACCCAGTGATTTCTCAATAAAAGGTATTAAGGTTGTGCTTAATTGTCACATTACTACCATGATATCTTTCTCCAGTGGTTGCTAAAAACCATTTCATGGGTGTTTGCTGTTGTTTAATGGACAGCTGTTGCATCTTCTCGTCTGTTCTCATTTTTATTACCAGTTTAGATGAAATGTGGCCGATATTTATTCTTGTTAGAACATTGGCTGGGTATATTTGCTTTATCTTTGCCATTTTTGAGCTGTGGGAAAACACCTTGAATTGTAATGATCTTGAATGCGTGGGTTTCATAAAAGTTACATTGTTTCAAAATGTAAGAAGGCTGTGTGTCTAGTGGAGTTCTCAAGTGTTCTTTCTCTGCAGGTATTTGAAATATCTCACCAAAAAATATTTGAAGAAGAATAATCTCCGTGATTGGTTGCGCGTAGTTGCTAACAGCAAAGAGAGTTACGAATTACGTTACTTCCAGATTAATCAAGATGAAGAGGAGGAGGAAGACGAGGATTAAAATTCATTGATCTGGATATTTTGTATGACTTCTTGAATAAAACTTGGGAACCAAATTGGTGGTTATCCTTGTATGTCTGCAGTGTGACGTGAACAGAAAATTGGAAATCGTAGTAAAAGGGCTTCCTTTGGGCTGCCATTCATTTACTTGTAATTAGACTTTTTTCTGCTTGAAAATGTCAGTTCTCCTGGTAGCAGTACCGGAACCGAAGCCTCCAGCTCTTTTAAGGGGACTGCCGGCAGTTTGACGCTGAGCAGGTGGGTGAGGGTGTGGGGCTGTGAGCTTCGGTTAGTCACTCTTTTACTGTAAAAAGTATGACATTTTTATCTGCTTTCCTCAAAGGGTCAGTAGTACAAATGTGAGGACTCAGTTCACTGAAAGCAAAGCCATTGACTTCTGTCTGAGGTTCTCTTGTGAGAAAATGGCAGTCGAGAAAAACGGCTCTGGGGCATTGTCTTTTCATTTTTTGATTACAGATTACTCTTCAGGCACACAATTATTATCTATGTTAATCGTTTTTCTTCCTATAGAAATAAAATGTGGTCCTTTGGTCTTGCTGCCTATTCTTATTTCCCTCAGGAAAGGGTTTGGAGAGCGATTGTAAAAGTCCCAGGTTTTAAATTAAGTAAAAGTGTACAAAAATGAATTTGTAAATGATCGTTTCTACAAGTCTTTGTAACAGACTGTCACTTTGGCCCCCAGCAGGGGGAGCTGGAGAGGAGGGAGAGTCCTGCCTGCTCTGATAGCCGGAGCGCTGGAGGCTTCTCCGGTGGGTGTGCAGGAGAGCCGCTGGGAGATGGTCCATGCTGAGGAGATGAGGGAGAGGTTGAGATGCCCTGGGAGTAGTCGCTTTCATGCCAGTTAGGCCGTGGCTGAATTTAATGTCAAAAGTCCTTCGACAAACTGACATTAAGTAGGGCCAAACTGAAAGTGGTGTTCCCGCAGAAAACCACGTCTGTCTTGGGAGTTTTGCCCTGTGTGGAGCCTAGAGAGCTGTGAAAGGTGGTTCATGAGGCTGTAACGATGTAATTGTTGTTGACAGAAAATCGAGTATACTTTCAAAAGAGACCCTGATGCCTTGTGGTGCCCTTCTAGCATCTAAACAATTCTGCAGAACTGTCTGCATTGTCTTAAAATGACGGTGTATAAAATTCATGTTTTTAAAGAGCTTGCCTACAGCCAATTTCCACACCTGAAATTCTTGTGTTCTGCTAGTTGCCTAGCTGGAAATTAAGTGTCTGAGTCCTGCCTTGGCTCCAATTTAACATTTGGTGCTCCTTGGATTGAGTTTAACATGTTGAGGCTTTGCAATTTCATTTGTGGTAAAGGCTCTAGCATTTTCTATTTCTATGCAAATTTCTTGAAGCAGAATTGTTTGCAGGTTCCTCTGCCCTCACAGAAGGCAGGGGTCCTTTCAGATTTAACTGAGGCATCAGTTGCTCTTTGGCGCTGCCCCTTCCATGATCACTAACTTTGTTAGTAAGTTCATGACTTGGGTTTGCAAATTTCACTTGTTTGCTGCGATGATGTTCCCTTGTAGTAATTCTTAGTTTGGTTGTAAAAAATTAACCCTGGGCTGAAATTAGCATATAAGTTTTTAGAAAATTACTCCCAGATTTTAAAACTTGTAATAAAATGGAAACTTTTTCTATGCCTTCTTGAACTCTTGTAATTGAGTTTTGATCACATTTTGTATTAAAGTGGCTAACACATGGCTACTATCGTGCAGGCTTTTTTCTTTTTTTAAAGGATTGGCATGTTAATCTGTTTAGCAACAAAAATTTTGTTGTTTATCCTACTGATTAATTGCTGTACCAACACTGACCTTGGTCTTCGTTAAGCTTGAGAAAAAAAAGTCCTGTATTCCCATTTTTTCACCTTGATTGTGCCGCTGTGCCTCGGTGAGATTCTGGAGCTCTCCGTGTAGAATGTCTTCAGATTCAGAGCCTGGAGGAGAACTTTGCAAACAAATTATTTTTTCGCATGGGGGATGTGTCATGTGAACCTGAATCTTGTTACACCAGCTGTGCCCGAACCACATTTTAGACCGGTTTCCTTTTCATCTGTTTTGTCTCATGACCCGCCTGCCTGATCTGAAATATTCAAGGCACAGAAACGGATTGGGTCATGGAGAGTTTCAAGCTGAGATTTACGTTCATAAAAGTGAAGTAGGAAGTTGGTGCAGTCTTGTTCTCAGCTGGCTCTGGTTACCAGCACCCTCCCTTGGCTTGATCCACACCATCTCTGTTGAAAGCATTAATGTTTGTTTTCCTTAAAGCCTCAGCGACCCCCTTCTGTGGCTTTTTCCGGGCTGAAACTGCTCTTTTCTGAGTAGTGTCATCCTCGTACCTCTTCAGGAAGAGGTCCTAACTTCACCAGTGGTGCCTAGCACAGAGGTGTTCAGAAATGTTTGTGTGGGAGAAGGGGGGGAGTTAAATCATATCAAAGATTAAGACAGTCAGAATTACAGAATGTTCTGGGGTATTTAGACCACAGCCTTTTTCGGGGACATGATTTCTTGGAAGGTGCACAGGACCCGCTGTGGTGATAACGGGCCCTGGTGAACTCCCTGGAGCCTCAGGAGAGGCTGGAAGTTGGCTTTGGCAGCTTGCTTTCATTTTCTGACTTGCTGCTTGGTCATTCTCATGACTTCCAATGACACCTCCCCCCCGCCCTCCCAAGCTTATCAAGTGTGGGTAGCAGAGTAGCGTGCTTGGTCCCTCCTTGTGAGGGGTGTGCATGCCTAGGATGGGGCTCCTTGACAAGAGACAACCACAGATTTGGCCGTACCAAGCACACAGACCTCCCTGCAGGTAACCTCAGAGCACGAGGCTGGCTGAGGTCAGAAGCCCCCTGGGGAGAAGAGCCTGGATAGGCCCCTGCTGGAGGTGTTGGCTAATCACAGTGACGGGCCTCTGTTCTTTGGGGTGATAAGCTGTGGAGGTCACCTCTCTTTCTGGAGGTAGAGGAAGAGGACAGAGGCCTCGTCTGGGGGATTTGCCATCCCAGCAATCAGGCGGTGCTGAGGGGAGCAGGTGGAAGCCGCCTCAAAAGATGCCAAAGTGGTGCTTACCTCGGGGAAGAAAAAGTATGAATATGTGATCCAGACATTTTCCTATCTTTCCTGTATTTGGGAGGATTTGAGAATCCACACTTTTTTCTAGGCTATTTCAGGCCAACCTAAAACTGTCTGTTAAGGCTGTGCTAACCAGCTGAGTGAGTTAGCTGCTACCATGGGTGGAACCCAGAAAGAACCCCTAAGATGCTTTAATTTATGGCTTACACAAGTACTTCCTCAGGTTCAGGGCCACGGCCAGGAGTCTGCCTTTTTGGGAAGCCCCTCCCCCCCATCCCCGGCAACCCCAAGAGGTTTGGATACGGGTGGGGCAAGGCCCCCGCCTTGAGAAACAGGCTTCAAGTACAAGGTCTTGGTGGGCAGGGGGTGCTCACCCTTCATCTCAGAGGACCCTGCAACCCTGGGAGTGGTGGTCTCAGCCACTTCCGAGGAGGCTGCAGTTGCACCTGTGCCACTGGCTGTGGGGGCTGCAGGAACAAGTGCTTCACTGCCCTTCCGAAGCCTCAGGAACAAGTGCTTCACTGCCCTTCCGAAGCCTCGCGTCATGTCGGGGCCATCAGGTGGCCACAGTGGGACGTGTTGCTGGAGGAACTGTCCTGAGGTGGGACTTCAGGGGTGCCTGTGTGAGGAATTCCCGAACTGAGTGGGGTGTGTGTTGAAGAGACCAGCTATTGCAGCTCTGTTCTTGGAAAAACATTTTTTCCTTGGTGCTTTCATAACCAATATATTTTTTAAAAATATTTTGATTTTGAATTGTCACTGAGGTGTCATTACAAGCTCTGTGATCAGCATCCACAAGAATCTTGTCTCCTGAAATTGTAACCTTAATGATAGACTTGTTCTCAGAATTGCAGAGTTTATTGAATTTTTACCTTTTTAGGGATTGCTTTCAACATCAGGCATTTTTGGTCCATTGTCATTAAAATGCACATTTAATAGTTTAACAATCAGCTCTCCTTTAAATATTCCTGGAGATTTCTAGTCAAAAATCCATTTGTTTCTGCCATTCCAGTGTTGGTTTTGTTTCGCTGTTGGTCTGTAAGTAATGTCACCTAGCTGCAGCCACTGGCGAGAACAAGGATGGGGAGAGGATTATGGGGAGAGAGAGTGATGGGCCTCTCAACTCTAATTTGTTGCCAAATTAAGCAGTTGGCACTGCTCTTTCTTGAATGATGTCTTGACTGAGTCTCGCCCTGGGAATTGGAGCCAAGGTTAATGGTGTGTGCGTGTGGTGGGGTGCTCTCTGGTTATGGGAAATACTGTAAGTCAAAGTTTCTCTAAAGTGGGACAGGGAAACTGTGCAAGTGTCCAGACCTCATCCTGCCATCTGGAAGGGGTTGGAGGCAGGGCTGGTAACAGGGTGGGTGTGTTTGGCGGTGCTTAGGGTTTTTTCCTGGATGGTTGACATTCAGGAAGACAGGAAGTCTGGAAAGAGCAAGGCAACCTTGCCAGTGAAAATGCAAGCCTGCTAGAGTGTCAGTGATTTGGGGCCCCCTCGGCTAGATGCCCAGTGATGTGAAGTACAGCCTTAGACGTGAGAAGCCCTTGGCTTTCTTAGCCCTCCTTCCTTTGCCCTTGCAGGCCACCTGCCCTGGGCTGATTCAACATCTCTCTCTAGTGTGGTTTAAAAGTGATCCAGGAGATGAAGGGGATTCCCAGCACCCCGCACTGTGATCCCAGAGGCTGGACAGACCTGCTCTTGCCCAGCAATGAATGAAGAGGAGCTTTTGTTTGGGGCTTGCTGGCAATTCATGTGGATGGGAAGGCGGAGGAAAAATTTGCTATACATCTTTCCAGCCCTCCCCAGGCCATCCATCACCTTCTGGTTACCTTGGACTTACGGTGCCTTGAGTTGTGGCAACCTCCCCAAGAGGTCTTGCATGAGGGCCCTTGCCAAGCAGGTACAACTCTCTTGGTTCCCAGAAGGCCCCAGGAAAGGGATAGCCCTTCTGGAGATGGCAGTGTGGCTTGGGTACTCTTGAATGCCACCTAGATGGGGCAGGTGCTCTGCCAAGATGGGAGGGATTGGTGCTAGAGAGAAGAACTTCTGCCTGCTCTTGGCTTCCAAGTCACGCAGATCCTGCAGGTCCCTGGCAGCCACATGGGGCTCCAGTGTGTTCCACAGGCTGAAGGCAGTGAGTTTGAGGGTGCCCTCCCTTTACTGGACATTCTAGGTTAGTGGGCTGGCCATCCTGCCGGCCACTGAAACTTCTGCCTTCTGAACAGCTTTAAGACTTGCTGCAGCCGAGACTGGCGGCGCTCATTTAAAATTCCAGTCTTGCTCCCCAGGGCTTTGGCCTCCATCTTCACCTGTAACAACCGAGGGCTCGTGGCGGTTCCTTCCCGCTCCGCGACAGGTGTCGCTTCTGAGCGGGAGTTTTGGGCACAGAGAACGCTGATCCGCACCACCCCTAGGGGTCCGGATGTGTTTAAACTGGACCCAGCCTCGAGGGGCGTTTTGGAAGAGGGCACGTGGGTGGTGGGAGCCGGGTGCGAAGGGGTGAGGGAGGAGCCAGTCTGCACGGACTTTTCTGGAGGAATCAGACCCGCTGTCTTCAGAGTGGCCCTTCCTCAAGTGCGGAACATATTTTTCTTCCAATCCTCATTCGAAAGGTGACTAGAAGCGTGTCAAGTCCGGAATGGGGTGCGGGGAGGCGAGGGTCTCGGTGCGTGTGAGCGGAGTGCAGGAGCTCGCTGTTCGGTGGCGCGAGGACCCCGCCTCCGCGCCCTTGGGGACTCCCGGGGCCGAGCGCCTTCTGGAGGGGGCGGCGGCGGCCAGCTCTGCGCTTCCCCGCCTCCCACTGGGCCCGGCTTGCCCGAGTCCCCGCTGCCCGCTCGGCCGTCGGGTCCCGGGGCGCGCGGGCGCCTCGACGGCTCCCCGGGCCAGAGCGCGCTGTCTCCCACTCTCCACCCAATGGCTCAGGACTAGTCTCCCAACTTGTTCTCTGCTGTTAACTAGTCGCGCTGCCGGAACGATGGGATGGGGTTGCCACAGCAACCAGACTGGACGTCACAATCCGGGCATGTGTGCCGCCCCCCCGCCGTGCCGCCGGCGCTGCCGCCGCCACCCTCGGCCGGCTGCGGGACTCGGGCTGCGGGGCGCGGTGGGCGGAGCAGCCTGGGCTTTGCGGGGAGCAAGGCTAAAGCGGCCGAGAAGAAGGGGGTCGAGACGGGGGGGTGGAGGTTTGGGGGGTGGGGGGGCAGGCGGCCGCCATCTTCTCGCCGAGGCCGCCTCGCCCGCCGCGCGCGCCCGTCCGGCAGCGCAGGGGTTAAGGCTGGCACCGCGCCCGGCGGGAGGGGGGGCGCCCACCTCCCCTCCCCCCCGCGCCGGGCATGCGGGGCCCGCTGGGCACCGAGGAGGAGCTGCCGCGGCTGTTCGCGGACGAGATGGAGAACGAGGACGAGATGTCAGGTGAGCGGGGCGCCGGCTGCGCCCGGGGCCGGGGCGGCGGGGGGCGCGGGGACCGGCGAGGCTCCGGGACCAGACCGCGCGGGCGGCGCTGGCGGTGCGCGGGAGGGGGCGCCCAGGCTGCGGGCTGCGCTCCCGCCCTGCTGGCGCCGCGCGGCCAAGGGCGCGGGGCTAGGCGAGCGCCGGGGCGCGGCACGCGGGCGGCCAAGGGCGGGGTGCGATCGGGGCCACCCGGGCCGAGGCGCGGGCCAGGCGCGGGCGGAGGACCGCGGGGGGCCTGCGCTGCACGCCACGGGCGGGGAGGGGGCGCGGCGCCGCCGGGGTCAGCCCGCGTGCCCTTGAAGGGGGCGGGAATCGCGCTCGGCTCCTGGTGCCGCGCAACCCGCGCTGTGGCCCCACCGCCGCGCGCCTCTGGCCTTCTGGAGGCAGGCGGGACGCGGCCCCGGGTCCCTGGCCCATTTCGGCCCCAGGGCGCGTTGGGGTGGGTGGGGCCCGGAGCAGGGTGAGGACGAGCCGTGCTCCGGGACCTGGCGAGCGCCCTGGCCTGGGTGGTTTCTCTTGGGCCCACGAGGGCTCCAGGCTGGGGTGCACCGGCTTGGACTCCCACTCCCCTTCCGCTGCCGCTGAGTGCTATGACCGCCGCTCCCAAACACTTTGCCTGGGCCGCCGGCGTCGTCCTGGCACGCCCTAGTGCCTGCCGCCGTCTCCAGCCCGCGATGGACCAGGGTAGTGGCCTTCCCAGCCCACCCCGCTTTGGCTACCGGCCTGAGCCCAGGGCCACTGCCCCTGCTCTTGCCATCTCTCTCAGAATTCAGCATAAACAGGGCTTGTGCGTCAGTGGTAACCTTGCAGGATCATCCCTTAGTTAATTGCTCACCATTTGTTTGGGACGTTTCCCCTCCTGGCACAGCTAGGCAGGACCTCACCCTGTCAACCAACCTCCCTCCCTCTCTTATGGGGGACTGTGTTACTTCTTAGCTTCCCTGCACCAAATCTGTGGCCCCTCCTGGGCTCCTTAGAGACTTGTGGGAGCTCCGGGGGCCCTCCCTGGCCCAGGACTGTGCTGTCTGGCCCCAGGAGTGCCTTCCACGGGGGGGGGGGGGGGGGGGGGGGGGGGGGGGCGGGGAATATTCCGCAAATTGGCATCCCAACTCCAGTGTGCAGGAGGTGAGAAGGGGAGGACCCAGTGGGCAGCAGCCCCCCAGGCTGCTGGGTCTTCCTAGCCAGGGGGTTCCCTCCAGGAGGCCAGGCCTAGGGGGGCCTCCTCCCTCTTCCACTTGTTTGCTTGTTTTAATGCTGTGATGGCCCCCTGGCAGGAGCCTGGCCTCACCCCGCCTTTCAGACACCCTGGTTTTCAACTTTGCGAAGCTCCTGCTGGGGTGGAGGGAGTGGGGGTGACGTGGCCCCATGTGGGTGGGGTTGCTTGGACAGTGGTGGACTCTTACATCCCCGGGTCCAGGGAATCAGGCCCCTTTCCCCAGAAGGGAGCACAGGCACGGAAACCCGTAGCTCTTTTCTACCCAGGAGGCTGGCTCCTCCGTGAGCCGTTCACGGGCTTCCTCAGTAAGTGGTTCCCGCTGGTGCTCAGGGCGTGGCCCTTTTGTGGCACTGATAGGGGTAGTGGACGTGAATTGACAGGCTTGTTCCAGGACTTCATCAACCCCGTGATGGGGTCCCCTGTCCCCCTCTCCCACATACTCTGGCTCTCCCTGGTTGTTTCAGGGAGAGGGGAGCGTTGGAGGGGAGGAGGCCAGAGAAGGTACCCCAGGCTGGTGGCCACCCAACTCACTCTGTTTGGGCCAGAGGGGTTGGGCCTTGGTCGAAGTCACCTGCCCACCACCCATTCTCCCTCTGCCTCCTGCTGTGTCCATCACTTCTGGGCGGGGCGGGGTGGGGGTGAGGTTGTCCCCAGGGCCTCTAGGAATGTCCCAAAGCCCTGCAGAGGAGGGTCATGCTCCGGCCTCTCTGGCCTGGGGATTGCAGCCCCATCCTTCAGCAAGACTAGATGCTCCACCTGAACGTTCAGAGTGGGTCCTGAGCCTTCTCAAGCTCCCAGCTCCCCTCTGTGTCCCCGGTCCAAGCCATTGTCCACTCCTGCTGGTCTACTCCGGAGCCGCCTAACCAGTCCTCAATGACTGCGCTCCACTCTGCAGCCAGGGTCACCTTTGTAAATCAGACCCAGACCCCCGTGGCTTCGATTGACTGCAAAGCCCCTGCTCTGTCCCTCCGTCATCGCCCCCACTCCTCCTGTTCATGTGCTGCAGCCACACTGGCCTTCTTGCTGCTTCTAGAACCCCCCAAACTCCATCCTGCCCTTGAGCACTGGCTGTGACCTCTGCTGACCTGCTCTTTCCTGTGCTCACGGCTGCCTCCTTCCTTCCTGTCGTTTAGGTCCTAGCTCAAATGACACCAGAAGGAGTCCCTCCTTGACCTCCTGGCTCAAGTGTGGCCCCACCCCTGTCACTCTCAGACCCATCTGAATGCTGTATTTTTCTGGCAGCATTTTCTACTCCCTGGAATATTATCACCAGCCAACTTCTGTGTCGGTGGTAACTCCCTTGGTCACATGCCGTGCCTGGCACATGGCACTGTGCGGGCTCAAGAGATGGTTGTGATCTCAGTGTCTGAGGACTAGGAGTCGCTAGGTCACCCCTGGCCCCCGGATGCGATGACAGCCTCAGCCCAGGCCTCGTGTCTCTCCTGAAGTGCTAGCCAGTTGGCCCCCTAGCCCTCCATTGCAGCCGCTCTGCAGCCCTCAGCCTGAGCTGGAGACTGTGACCCGACCAGACCTAGAGCCAGTAGGTTCCAAAACATCACAGTTTGCGGGCGGAGGAGCTGGTGTTTGGGCAACGTCATGCTCATTTTTAAATCTGCAGCAGTTGGACTCGTTACTTGTCAAATCGACTTTCTTTTCACTCTGCCCCGTCTCCCACCTCCCCCTCAGCAGTATTCTTGTTTCCCACATGGGGGCTTTGCTGGACCAGCTTTCTGGCGTTGAGGCAGGTGGGCGAGCCTGCTTTGAGGAGGAGGGCAGGGTGAGTGCCTGCCTCTCCAGCTCAGGGACTGGCAGCTGCCAAATTCTCCCAGGGATTCAGAGGGCCAGGCAAAGGGAGCGCTCAAGGGTCAAATGAGTCCAGCTCTGCTGCTTGTTAGCTGCCTGACCTTGGGCAAGCTACCCAGCCCCTCTGCCTCAGTGTCCCCACTTGTAGAATGGGGCTCTAGCACTAGCTACCTCATAGAGGGTTATTATGAGGACGGGGGAGATGGTGCACGTGGAACATTTAGGTCACAGTGCCCAGCACATCATAGGTGCCCAATAAACTGTGACTATTACGATTGGCACCACCCAAGGCGGGGCAGTTGACCTGCCTTCCTCAAGGAAATGCTTCCGAGACTTGCACCTTCATCCAGTAAGCAGGGGGGCATGGGGGCCTGGGCCAGGGGAGGGCTAGGAATGTGAAGCCCATGGAGGGGCTGGAGCGAGGGAAGGAGGGAGGGGCTCAGCACTCTGGGCCTTTCCCTCAGAAGTTCCTCAATCACACACAGCCAGGGGGGTGGGTTTTCCAGAGCTGGTGAGTCCAGCTTCTCTCCTGGCCAGGTAGTGTGACCACCCTGGCCCAAGAGACACTTGACTGGCCCATGCCCCCCAGCCCACAGGACTGCCCCCAGCCATGTGAGCATCTTAGGCTTCCTTGGACCCAGGGGCAAGGAAAGAGTGATAGCTATGATTCCCAAAGGTCCTTGCCTTCTTAGCTTGTCCCCCACCATGGGGAAATGTGGGTTTGGGGGTCCCAAGAAGCCTGATTATATTTAATACTCTTTGCTAGGAAGAGAGAGGCAAAGTGATCATCACAATTTGCCCAGTGGCTTGACCTGGGGCATCTTCACCTCACTCCAAATTGATCAGAGACTAAGATCCATCTATCATTTCATCAGTTCATTCAATCTCCCACCCACTTATTAATCCACCCACTTGTGTATCCACCCTCCCACCTAAACGTCTACCCATCCAACCATAAAACATCCACTCACCACCCACCAGCCATCCATCCAACCCACTCATATCATCCATCCTACCCCCTCTCCATTCTCCATCCATCCATCCATTCATCCATCCATCCGTTCATCTATCCATCTATCCATCCTGCTCACTCCATCCATCCACCCATCTTTCATCCATCCATTTATCCTACCCATTCTCCATTCACCATCCATGCATTCTACCCACTCTCCATCCTCCATCCATCTACCCATCCTTCATCCGTCTATCCATCCTACCCACTCTCCATCCTCCATCCATCCATCCCACTCTCCATCCATCCATTCATCCATCCTGCCCACTCTCCATCCAGCCATCCATTCATTCATCCATCCATCCACCCATCCACCCACAGACCCAACAGTGATTTCTTGAGTATCTTCTCTAGTGTCTTTCTGTGGCTTTTGTAGGTAAAATTTTGAGACTTTCTCCTTTATCTCTTTGGCTCTGTCCTTATTTCCCTCTCTCTGTCTCTTTCTCTCAGTCTATCCCCTTGTCTGTCCCTCAGTTTGTCTGTCTCCTAGTCTGTCAGTCTGTCTTCCCTGAGTTCCTGCCTCTGCTTCTCTCTCGGCAGGGCTGGCTCTCTTGCCCTCTTTTGTCCTGTCTTTCCCTGGTCCTTTGGGTGTGTCTCCTCATCCTCTCCCTCCTTTGCCTCTCTTCCCTCCCCATCCCTGCAGTGCTCTGGGCCTGCAGAGGGGCTTCCCCCTGCCTTCACTGGGCCCCCTAACTCCCCCCTCCTCCCTCTCCCCGCTCCCAGTCCCTTAGGATAAAAGGCTCACCTGTCCCCCCTCCCGTCTGCCCAGCGTGCTCAGGACTGACTCTTTGATGAGACGCCAATGAGACGATGTCTGGGTTTTGTTAAATGGCGTAAATAACTTATTGCTCCTCTCTTGGGCAGGAATACTGCAGCAGAGGGCCTGTGGCATGGGGGGGGCGCTTCAAAGACCGATGGGAACTTTAGTCTTGGTACCCCCTCCATGGCCAGCCCTAGGGTGACCCAGCAGTGCCCAAACCAGAGACCCCCCACCCTCTGCCACCCACCCCTTCACTACCCGCTGTCCTGACCCTCGTGTGGTCTCCCTGGGCGCCACCTCCATCGCTGAGCACCTCCTAGACATCATATCAGCAATTTTCACTCCTACTTTCAAATTCTCCATCACCCTGTGAGAAAGGCAGGATTAGGCCCATTTTAAGGATGAAGAAATGGGCTCATTGGGGGACCCCACCAGGAAAGGGTGGCAGTTTGAAGTATGCACGCTCCTGTTCCTCCCTCCTCCTGGGCCCCAGGTAGTCTTGTTCCCTGCTTGGTGCTGGGTTGGGGTGGGGAACGGAAGCAGTCCCTCTCGCCAGGCCCGGAGAGGGTGGTGGGCACTGAGCTGGCAGATTTGCAGAACCCAGGGAGGGAGCGCTTGTCCCAGCTCCTGGCTCGGCCCCCCGCCGATCCTTCAGCCCCTCTAGATCAGATGAACTGGCTTTTCTTTCCACAGTCATATGCTTGTCTGATCACCTCCTATTTGCAAGGCTCATGGCTGGGCTGCCTTCTTGCCTAGGCCCCTCTGAGCTGGGCTCCCTGGCTGCCCTTCCTCAGAGGAGGGGGCAGGAGCTGGGCTGAGCATTACCCATGGGTTGAGCATGGACACTTGTAGTGGACCAGCTGGGACCTCCCTGAGGGACCCCACGAGACCTTCCAGACCAGGGGCTGGCCTGAGTCACCTTAGTGTCCCCAGGCCACTCCCTGAGCTTGGCTTATAGGCCATGCTGTTTAAATGCTTGTTAATATGGAGTAAGTCTGAATTCTGGGAGGGTTCAATGCCTGGGGGAAGGGGCAGGGGCAGGGACCACACATAGTGGTGGGAGCTGCCTGCCTGGGTTCCATCCGGGCTCTACCACCTGCCAGTTGTAAAACTGAGATGTGAAGTGATGAGATCCTCCGAGCCTCAGTTTCCTCATCTGCAAATGGGGTAATAATAGTGCATCTCCCAGGCTTGCTGTGTGGAGTAGATGAATTAATATGAACATATGCTTCCTGCTTTGAGCCCGGTGCAGGTGGTATGTAGGTGCGTCCGTGGTTATAGCGTGTTAGTCTGAGAAGGGCCCACTCAGCTTGTCTGGGCTGCAGTCTGCAGTGTGGCCTCGGGGGCCTGCAGGGCTGAGCTGGAGCATCTGCAGGGGGCTGCAGAGGGGCTGGGAGGAGCTTCAGGAAAAGCAGCAGAAGGTACCTCTCTCTGCCCCTTTGCCCCTACCCGTTCCCCTGCTGTCTCCATCTCTGACGCAGCCTCCCCAGGCCTGCTCCGACCTGGGAGCTCAGGAGGTAGGAGAGATAACAAGGCTAATGGGTCCTAATTATAGCCCGGCGTGGATCGATGGAGCCTCCGCCCTGGAGGGGCAGGGCTGGTGCGGGAGGGTACTGCCAAGCAGGCCAGAAGCACTGTGGGGCAGCCAGGAGGGGCCAGGAGCTCGCAGGACAAGGAGTCCTGAGGCCGTTTCTCCTGGGGACCCTCACTCCTCACTCCAAGGCGGGCCTGATCCCACCTTACCACTGGCTATACCCTGAGGAGTGGGCCGGGGGGGGGCACAGGACACAGGGCTGGGGGCTCCAGGAGGGGCTGATGGGATGTGACTCCCCACGTCTGGTTTCAGAAAGCTCAGGGCCTGTTGCAGAAGAGGGAGGAGGGGCTGGGGCTAGGGTGGGAATCATGGGGGCTTTGTGGGGGCAGAGTCGTAGGACGTCAGCCTTGGAGTGTCCTCAGGGCTGCCAGAAGCCGTGAAGGGAGAGGAAGGGCCTGTTAAGAGATGGTGGGGCAGGGTGGGGTCTCCATCCTCGAGTGCCAGCCCTGGAAGCTTCCTGGAGGAGGGATTTAATCAGGCAGATGGTCCTGGGCTGTGAGGTCTTCTGGGAACGGAGGAGGAGCTCTGTGCATGGGCACAGGGTCTGGGGCCTTATCCTCTGAGGTTCGTTCTGGGCATGGATTAGGGCCAGAGTGTGGGCCACCCCGCACCACCTCCTCTCCAGGCAGGGTGGGGCACAGCCCATGGCAGATCACAGGCTTCCTTCCAGAACCTCCCACAGCCACCTGTGCATCCCCTTGTCTGTTCTGCTGGGCTCTCGATTAGTGACTGTGTGCTGGGCTGGCCTTCCCAGTCTAGGGGACCACCCTGCTGAGGGGACAGGGGATGCAGGGTAGTTGCGGGAGGCAGGAGGGAGAGAACCCCTCATGATTGCATCAGCCTGAGCCCGTTACATAACCGGTGCTGGGCATTGCCAGGCTGTGGGGGTGGCTCTGCCCAGGCGGTGTCCCTGCGGCACTGGGGGAGGTGGAGGTGGGCGGGGGAGTGGGTAGGCGTGGATGGGTGTCCGCTCCCCAGCCAGGCTCTCTGCCAGGCCCATCACTGCTCCCCAGGCCCCTCCATTCCAGGACGACTCTGGGGGTCCCTGTGCATGTTTGCAACTGGCCTGAACAATCCCTGCCCCTCCCACATCAGGGTCAGAGGGACAGGACGGGGTCAGCTTGAGCAGCTTCAGCCTGGCTCTGCTTGCAGCCTGCCCACATTAACCCAGATTTGGCCCAGCCCCTCACTGCCCACTCCCTGTCCGCCATAGCCCCGGCCAAGGCCACCGCTGTGCCCTCCATGTGGTCTTGTCCTCAGCAATACCCCTCTCTGCCAGTCAGAACCACCAAGCTCAGCCCCTGGGGATGGCCAGCACTCAGGCCACTGCCTCTGTGGCAGCTCCCCATCCTGCCTGGAGTCGGCCTCCCTCCATGCCTGGGTTTGCCTCGCAGGATGGAGACAGGGTTGGGACTTGGGCATGCTCTGCCCCTTGCCCCTGTGTACTCCTGGGGTCTGTACAAGTCAGGGTGAACACTTGCTCCCTGGGTGAGGAGGCCATAGGCCTCTGGCCGCCCTGAAGAGGGGCCCTGGTGCAGAGGGGTGCCCAGACAGTGGTCCAGCCCCCACCTTCCCCTGGTCGGGGGTGGTATGTGTGGGAACTGACCTGTGGGCTGTGGAGGTGGGAGGGGCGTCCACTGGGCCACCAGAGTCACCAGCTCCCTCAAGCCGCACCTAGAGTGTGGCGAGGGGAGTCACAAGACCTGGGGTGGGAGCCTGCCCGTTTCTCCCTGGGGACTTGGTGGGACAAGGGTCCCAGGCCAGGGTGGACCCGTGTGGAGGATGGGGGGCTGGATGTTGGTGTGTCCTGAGTGTGCACACGTGTCTGAGCATCTGCGGTGTGTGGGTCTGACACATTCAACAACCACAATGTTTTAGGGTGAAAGACCTCCTACGTGGAGGTGTGGGGCCCTGTTTCTTTAAACTTGATGCATGGGGGCCGCTTTGCCCCTTTCCTGGGACTTCTCACCCTCCTCAGGGTCTCTCGGGGGGCAGCCCTGCAGTGGGGTCCCGCTCGAGGTTGTAGCCAGGCTGAGTGCGACCCCAGTGATGTCTCCCTGCACACCCCGGTTGGCTCTTCTCTTTGCCCCCCTGGGTGCATGTGGGGCAGCGAAGGGGGATGAGGTAGGACAAGCTGGGCTGTGGGCATCAGGGCCCCCAGCCTGTGTGGAGCACTGGCTGTCTCGTGGGCCCCTTTTTGTGACTTTTTGGAGGTTTGGCTGGTTTCTTCTGGAAGCTTCCTTTGCTCCAGGCAAATGAATGTGTCTCTACTCTGGGTGGTTTGTTCTTGTAGCATCTTCTTGCTGCTGTTTGCCCCCAAGAGGACCCTCCCTCCTCCCCGCTCCGTGGCCCATGTCTGGTCCCCAGGAACTCAGGGCTCACTGCCCTTTCTCACCCGATTTCCCAGGTGGCATTAGACACTATGCCCCCAAGGCAGCGGGCCACGCATCCAGCCCTCTCCCCTTGGTGGGGGGTGGTGTGAAGCTCGCGGCCAGCTGCTTCCTCAGTGATACCCCACCTGACACGTGCACCCTGCCTGCTGCCCTCTCGGCCTCATACATTCATGAAGGAGCGAGGGGGTCCGGGAAGGGCAGGCAGCTTCTTGAAAACTCACGTGTGGTGGATGCAGCATCTCTGTGGAATTTCACATCTTCCTGGTGCCCAGCAGGAGTGTGTTGGGCTTCCTGCTGTGTGTGTGTGTCTGGGGGAGTGTACCGTGTGGGTGCATGTGCGGGATCAGGGTGAGAGAGGAAGCATGGTCTTCGATTCCCCATTAAGGGGGGTCCTGGCATCCTCCAAACCCCCGGGCATTGCTGAGCGGCTCCACGTGGTCCTGGGGTGACGTGACTTGTGTGTCCCCGTCAACCTGCATTCACAAGCCGTCTCCCAGCCACACCATGGGCCACCAGAGGGCAGAGATGGGCCCCAACCCCTCCCTGGGGCCAGCTGGAGATGGCTTTGTGATCCCATGGGACCGCTTTCTCCCCAGGGAACAACATCAACAAGACCTCTTAGTCAGTCACTCACTTTTGCTCAGCACATTCAGTTTCCTGAGCACTGTCATGTCAGGGTAGGTGTTACTGTCCCATTTTACAGATTAGGGAAGGAAAGGTCCAGAGAGGTGAGGTGATGGGACACAGCCCACCAGAGCTGGGATTTCAGTGTTTTTCCAATCACTGAGTCTGGGTAGGGGGTGGCTTTGCGGGTTTGGGAGGAGGCTGGGGCAGGGGAGCTGGATGGAGGGAAAAGGGGTGGGGGGTGGGGATTATAAGTGGGGGTGAGGAGGGAGGGGGAGGGGTGGGGCTAGGGAGGATGGGGTGGCCATGAGTTGGCAGTGTTGGGTGGCAGAGGAGCTGGCTGTCCCAGCAGTCCTCACCTCTCACTCTGTGTCCCTGGGGTCTCCCGGAGGGAAGCAGGGGAGTAACCCCCTCCCCCTTCTGCTTCCTCCAGAAGAAGAAGATGGTGGCCTCGAAGCCTTCGATGATTTTTTCCCTGAGGAGCCCGTGAGCCTTCCCAAGAAGAAGAAATCCAAGAAGCTCAAGGAGAACAGGTCTAAAGGGAAGCGGAAGAAGAAAGAGGTGTGTGGGGGTGGGGCGGGGCTGCGAGGAGGTGTTGGCTGCCCACCCCGGGCCTGCGCAGACAGCGCTTGTCTCCCGGACCTGCCAGGGTGGGTGTCCTGGGAGCTGAGTTTGAGTGAGAAACACCAAAACCCGTGCACAGTGGGCTGAGCGGTGGGCACAGACCTTCCCAAGAGGGATCCGACACGTCCTGTGAATGTCCGGGGGTCATTTATCCTTTCTCCTGTGTGGCCATCCTGGGCTGTGACAACATGGGTCCCCAGCACTCGAGTCCCTTCACTGAAGGGCCCCTGTTCCCACTGCACTGTGCGTCCACTGTCCCAGTCGCTCTGGCCGTGCCTTCTGCCTTTGGCCCCGTCTGCCTCAGGGCAGCCCTCTGTCCTGCTTTGCTGCTTCCAATCTGTTGTGAGTTGGAATCCTAATGAAAATGATAAAAGTGGGAGAGGAGTAAGGAGGCCCTGGTGGGGCTGGGGTCCCCTCTGAGTCACCGTGAGCTTTGTGACCTCATTTTCGGAATGCTTCCACAGGGACTCACTTATCCTCAAGGTCGACCTTGGGAATCGGTGAGATGGGGATGATGATCACCTTTGGCAGATGGGGAAACTGAGGCTGACTTGCAGCTTAAAGCTCTTCTCACCTGGAGGGGGGAGGGACGGTAACAGGACAGTGTGACAGCTCCCATCTTCTCTCTTTGTGATTGCTGCCCACCTCTTTTTGGGCGTCATCCCCGATCCTCGAGGCGGCCCGTGGGGAAGGTGGTGGCGTGTGCCCCGCTTTACAGACGAGGGAGTGGAGGCTCAGAGATGAACTTGTCCAGGGTCGCAGTGACAGCCAAGATCTGGACTGGGGACTGCTCCTGTGTCCAGCCACCCCCCTGGCCCGTTCCCCCAGGGCCCGCCTGCCCTGAGGGGAAGTGATGTCAGTTCTCCGGCCTTCTCACTTCCCCTTCCCAGAGGGGGACCCACCTGGCCCAGCCTTGCAGGGGAGGTGGTGGGGGAGGTTTGGTGGGGAGGTATTAGCGCCCTCCGTGGCCCTGGGGCAGAGCTGGGCCCAGACTCAGAGTGAGGTGAGGAGAGGAGAGCATATCCCGGGCTGAGGGTGCAGGTGTCTGTCAGAGTGTTCTGGGTGCAGCCAGTGAATGACTCAAGGCTAGAGGCGCCTCAGAGGCCACTGTGGGCCTCTTGCTTGTCCCCTGAGTGACAAGGGGTCACTGGAAGGCTTTGTGCAGAGGTCTGTGATGACAGCTCCCACAGGCTCCTGAGGGCACTGAGAGGGCAGAATGGAGGAGACCTCTGAGGATGGAGGGCTCATGACCCTGGGCAGGTGAGAAGGGGAAAGATTTCTTCCTGAGAATCTGCCTCTGAAGCCACTGCCTGACCTTATCTGAGTCTCGCTTCTGTGTCCGCAGTAAGGGGGGCACCACCTGTCCACCTCCCCTGCCTGTTCTGGGGTGAACCAGATGTGGACCAGCAGGGTACCTTTATGTGAGAAGTGCCACGGAGAAGGCCAGAGGCACTTGGGGGCATCCAGGGTGTCAGCCTGGATGTGTCTAGAGGGCAGGGCCTGCCTCGACTGTGCCCCAGGTTGCCATGGTGGTCAGCCTGGGACCGACCTGTTGGGAGCTCAGGGCCTGGGACAGGGAGGTGTCAGCCCCTGGCCCTTGCGACTGGAACCACCCCAGGTGCGTCCCGCCTGTGTCTTTGGTGAGGTTGGGGTCAGCATTGCTCACCTGGACCCTCCACTGTGCTGCTGTCCTGGCTCCTGCCCTGCCACGCCCCTGCAGTCCTCTGTTTCCTGGGAAGGACTTCCTAAGGGACATGTCTCACCACGCCCCACAGCTGCCCTGTCCAGGCTCCAAGGCCTCAAAGCTGCCTCCCAGGCCCCCTCCCTGCCTCCTTTGTGCCACATCCCCGGCGTGTGGGGACTGCCCTTTCTTCCCTGAGCCTCCTCCAAGCCCAGTGCTGCCCCTGCCCGGCACCACCTTCTGTCTCTGCTGTCGCCCAGCTCTGTCCTCACTGCCTGGGCTCCTGGCATTGGTCCAGAATCGATGTGTGTCTCCTCCCAGGACACCCCGCTCCTCACCCTGGGGCGGCACATGGGCATACAGGCTCTGAGACTCTTCCGAGGCTTTGTCCCCATTATCCAGCTGGGTAAGTGGAGGCAGCAGACAGGAAGGGAGCATCTCAGTGGGGGAGATGCTGTGGACCAGCTCCTCTGCCATGGGGAGGGGCCTCTGAATTCCCTGCTGTGCCCGCCACCCCCCACCCTCCCGCCACTGATACCCTCACCATCCTTGTTTCTTCTGAGGGGCAGAGGATAGATGGTTCTGGAGCTGGCAGGACCTTGGGATGCAGGGGCCGACTTCCTGGTTGAGGCTGTGAAATGTTGTTCTGCTGCGGTCACTCCTCTCACCCCCAGACCTGAGGCTCTGTGGACGTGGGGTGGAGGTGGATTTTAGGGTCCTGAGGCCTAGTGGCTGGGGCAGGGGCTTCCTGCACAGATTCCCCCCCACCGCGCCCCCCAGCTTCTCAATGTTTTCTTTCTCTTGGAAACTGGGCAGGAGGCTCAATGCCATCATGTCCTTGGTCTCAGGCCTTCAGGCTGGGTCTACCCAGTTCCCAAATGCAGATGAAGGACCACCAGGGGTGCCACAGGGGCCTGTGGGCGCCTGCCTTCCTCCCCTCCCCAGCCAAGGCAGGGCTGGCTTTTCTCTCGCCCTCCTGGGCACAGGGTATGGCAGGACCCTGCCCCTGCCACTGCCAGGAAGGAGGCTGGAGGGGGGCAGGGCGTGGACAGTGGTGAGGTGGGGGGCTAGGGGGAGGTCGGCAGTGGAGAGGTGGGCCATGTGGCCCCCAAGGCCTGAGGGCTGGCGTTGCCGCCCCCGGCCCAGCACCAGGGTCACTCAGGCCTCCTCCCTCCCTTCTTCCTCTGGACCTACCTGGACACACGTTCTTGTTCTTGTCACTGTGTCTGTCCCTCTGGCTCCTGTCTCTCTGTCTGTCTGTCTCTCACTATTCTGGCCTGCGCTTGGACTCTCTCTTACATCTCTTGCTCTCCCTCCTCGGTCTCCCTTGCCCCGTCTCCTGTTCCATTTCTTCTTCCCCCTCCAGCCTCATTTCCCTCCCTCACTCCCTCCGTTTTTTCTCTCTCTTCCTCCTCTTCCATTCTCTCCACTCTCCCTCCCCTCACTTCCTTACCCTCTCTCCTTCCTCTCTATACTGAGATGCAATTCGGGTTCTCAACAAGGGTGGAGGGCTGGGTGGACGAGAGGCCTGCAGATGTCCGGGCAGTGCCAGACAGGCCCCCAAGGCGACCCTTGGGCCATTGCTGCTCTCTCCCCTGAATTCCTAAGAGCCTGGCTTGGCCAGCTGTCAGATCTTAGAGGGTCTAGAGCATGCTGCAGCCAGAGAGCAGGATCCTGGCCCCCCTGTGCCCCCCGCGCACCCATAGGCCAGGGTCCTCAGGACGTGAGGTGGGCAATCTCACCCCTTTCCTCCTCTCCGTCTCCAACCAGGTGGCCCCAAGATCGGGTGGTGGGCGGAGGCAGCAGAGGGGCTGGGCGGCGGAATCCATGCCATAGTTTTTTTTGGAGGGGGGTGGGCAGGAAGCAAGTCGTGGATTCTGATTTACATAAAATAACCAGGCTGCGGCCAGAACCTGAGCATATGTAGATGAAGCTCCTTGTCAGACCCAGCGCAGGAGGGAGAAATGATTTCAACCTGTACCGCAGCGGTTACCATAGCAACCAATTATTCAGTGCTAAATTATAACTGTTTATAACACTCGTGAATGGGAAGGCTCATATTTCATTCTTTCTTTTTCCCTCTCAGTCTTGAAGGACCCCAAATTGAGAATGACCAACTCTCCAAGTCCTTCTTTTCCAGTGTAAATGCCTCCTTTTTTGTGCTGAGTTCTGGTTGTAGAAGCAAGGGAGAGGGAGACTCAAGGCCCTGATGGAGAGACATCTGCAGAGCTGGGGAGGAGGAAGGGTGGGCGGGGACTGTCCATTTGGGGTCCCCAGGGCCTGCACTGGGGGCATGCTGGGGCCTCAGTGGGCCTGGGGCTCAGGGCAGAGACCCCTCCCACCTGCCCCCAGCTGCCTGCACACACAGCCTGGGTGTGGTGTTTAAGACAGCTTCGCAGCTGGATGCTGTTGGGTGCTCCAAGTCCACTAAGATTCCTCTACCAGCAGCCGCATCTCCTGTAGCCACGCCCAGGGCTGCTGCAGCCCAAAGGACGGCATCAAGGTCAAAGCCCTGACTGACTGTCATCCTGAAGTTCACTGTCGTCCCCCACGGTGTGGCTCAGGGCTGAGGTTGGTCCAGGGCTTTATTAGGGAGTTATTGCTCCGTGCCTGTGTCTCCTCCCCTGATCGTGGCTTGGCCCACACCCGACTCCGTAAGTTTCAAGATACTGAACGACTGGCCTCCTGGTTCTCCGTCGTTCCTTCTCTCCTTGCCACTGGCTGATGCCGCATCCCAGGTCCTGATGCTGGGTCAGTTCTCTTCGAGTTGTTTTCAGAACCATTTGCTGCCCTTCTCCTTGCCCCTTTCTCTGCAAGGAAAGATTATTTTGGAGAGAAAGAAAAGGAGGCCCAGGTCTAGAAGTGTCCGAACAGCTGGATGCAGAGATGTGCCTATGCTGCGGATGCAGACTCATTGTGCCAGCGCGAAACCAGTATCTGAAGACCTGCCCTGCCCCTCACCCTCAGCCAGCCCCCCGGTGTGGGCAGGAGGGTTCAGATGAGATCTGGTGCAGGTGGGGGTGGGCCCAGGTGGTGCGAGCTACATTTGGTGGAGGGAGAAGTTAGGGCCTGGAGGGGATGAGTGGGCAGGGGTCGGGTGAACTGGGGAATCAGAGCTTTCTCTTTGATGGGCTTTCACCAATGCAGCTAGACAGCAGAGGGAGAAGGCTGCCCTTCCCTGAAATGTGAGGCTGCCATCACTGCCATCACCCATGGACGACTGGGCACTGACAAGTAGCAGACGAGCCCTGCCATAGCTCTGGCTCGTTCCTCAAGGAGGAACTCTGCCCTCCTGCTCTCCCACTTAGCCCTGGAGTGGATGCCCAGCTTGGCGCCTTCTGCCAGGCCTCCCTCACTCCCCCTCCCCCACACCGCACTGTGCACAGACAAACGAAATCTACTGGAGGCGCCTTCCCCTCCTCCCTCCCTTCCTCCTCCCCTCTCTCCAGCTCCCTCTGGGCCCTGCATGTGCAGCTGTGCTGGCCACTCCTGGCCTCTCCTGTACTTGGGAAGTGGCCATGCCTGCTTCCCATCAGATGCTCAGGTCAGCTCTCCCTCAGGTGCGGCCACAACAGCCCCTTCTTCCGGCATCAGATTGTCACTCTGCACTGTAATTGTCGCCCAGCTGTAGGCAACATCTATGTAGTTGGCTTTAGCTCAGTCCTGAAATGCAAAAACGAGGAGAATGAGGCTGGTGTGTGTCTAGTTTGTCGTCTCGCCTGCATCTTTGGCTTCCAAGCAGATTTGGGGTCGTCATGGGTATTGGGTCTCTTCCATTTCAAAACGTTTAAGGCCGTCTCTTACGTGATCCTCTTAGCACTCTTTGTGGCATCTCCATTTCACAGATGAGGAAGTTGAGGCCGAGGTGCCACAGTGACTTGCCTTGTTCCCAGGCTAGCAAGGGGCAGAGCTCCAAGGCATTCTCTGTCCTGCAGCCTCCCCAGGGAGCCCCAGGACCCACAGTCAGACCACTCGGGTATCAGCTGGGTATCAGCTGTGGGTCCTCCTGCCTTATCCCTGGTCTGGTTTGTGGAATTTGCCCCAGGGCAGTGGAGGGCCAGCCCTGTAACCCTCCCTCAGGGCTCCCACAGCCTCTGTCCGTGGTGCTGAAGTTCCTGGCAGCCACCTTCTTCCATCCTTACCTTTTCTGGGATGAGGGCTGGGGTAGCGCTTGTCTCAGGTCTTTTGAAGGGTGGTCTCTCGAAGCTGGCCGAACTCTATGCCCTCAGGGAAAATGGACGTCCCTGTCTGACCCCCATTTCCCCAAAGGAATGAGGCATAGCTGGGAGCTGTGGCCCCAGGGCCCTGCCTCACCACCAGCGCTGGCAGCATGAGAGCCTACCTGCAAGGCTGTCCTGCCCTGGGCAGGCTCTGGCAGTAGCCAGGACTGGCTCTGCCCCTGGGGCCAGCATGGCGAAGTCAGTATTCTGGGAAACACCCGGTTCCGGAAAGGCGCAGAGGCCCTGCTGTCTGCCAACCACCAGCCAGCGCACTGACTCAGCGGCTTAATGAGCATAAAAGGTTTGGGAGCAGGGAGCTGGCGGCAGAGAGGGAGCTGAGATTCCAGGAGAGTCAGGTAGTGCAGGGATCCTGTTGGGGGGGGGGGGCGTCCTTTCCCAGCTGTTTCTCAGGAAGAGCCTCCTTCCTGGGAAAAAGACCCTCAGCTCTTTACTGTGTGGCTCGAAAGGGCAGAGATCAGGCTTGGGCCTCCCAAGATTCTCCAGACAGACCTGCTGCCCTTGCTGACTCCCTCCTCTCTCTTTTCCCCCTCCCTCCTCTCTCTTTTCCCCCTCCCTCCCTCCCTCCTCTTATGCCTCTCTCCCCCATTGCTGTTTCCTGAGTTCATTTTCCATCTCTCCAGTTCTCTCGTCATCTTTTCCATGCCTCTCTTTGCTCACCCTGAAAACAGTAAATAGCCAGCATGAAGATGACAAGCCTGTGCTGTAATTGGAGCATGAGTGCCCAGCCTCTCTGTGAAGACCCGGGGCCGAGCAGGCTGGGAAGGGCTTTGCCAGTCCACTTGCATCTGAAAGGATGCGAGTAAACAGCTTTCTCTGAGGGGCAGTGCCTTTCTGGTGGGGATGCTCTGGCTGTAAACGCCCTTATCTCCATATAAATGGGCCATTTTCTGCCTGTACAGACGGGAAACTAAATCAAGGAAGCCAAGCTTAAGAGCTGCCTAAATTACCTTGTCTCATGTTAAGACACAGCGGCCAGGGTGGGGGTGGTAGGGAAGGTGGGCTTGTGCCATAGCAGCTTCTGGAGAGCCCACAGGCAGACAAAACTGGGATGTGTGTTCTGCGTTAATTCTAGGTTTCACTTGACCGGCACAGTTCCATAGGATGCATACATAAGCAGAGAGGTTAGGTACTGGGAGAGAGGCTCTCTTTCCCACCCAACTGGGACTTTTCCAGTGCACTTTGTTTTCTGGCTCTCTGGGCCTCTCCTCTGCTGTGGGCTCTTGGGTCTGAGCACCATCATGCAACACTTTAAAATCCCAACATCCACAGAAACCTGTTCTGATGGAAGCAGAGCCCGAGCCTCCCCTCCCCAGGGCAGTCCAAGCAGGCTGCATGGGGAAGCCTGACTTCGCCAGAGGCCTCGCCTCACCTGCACACTCCACCATTTGCCCACTCAGCGGGGATGAGACCCTTGACGTGTGCCGGCTCCGGGCAGACCCTCTGGCTGGGCTTCAGTGCTGAGCTGTGACCAGTGGGACACCGAATGATCCAGAAAGCGTGGGCTGACTGACTTTGCTGGGCGGCCACTCTCAGGGCAGTACTGCTGCCCAGGACTCTGGACTTGCTTGGGGCCTGTGTAGCCCTCACTGTCTCCCTTTCTGTTCCAGGGGAGCAATGATGAACTATCAGAAAATGAAGAGGATCTGGAAGAGAAGTCAGAGAGCGAGGGCAGTGACTACTCCCCTAATAAAAAGAAGAAGAAAAAACTCAAGGACAAGAAGGAGAAAAAAGCCAAGAGAAAAAAGAAGGATGATGATGAGGATGATAATGACGACGGATGCCTGAAGGTAACCATTGAGGGCCGGCTGGAGGGACTGGACTCCGAGAGGCCACACCTGCCGGGACTGGCTGGGCCTCCTGCTGTCAGTTCTCTGTCTCCCGGCCTGGGAGCCCCTGAGTGAAAGACCTGAGCATCCTTTCCCCCGGTGGCTGTCGGGAGCGGATGGGTCTGTGGCTGTGAGTGTGTGCCTGTGTGTGTGCATGCACGTGGAGCTTGGATGCAGTTTGTGAGAAATACTGCAGCCACAGGTCTTGAAGACATATCTGAAATAACGATGGGTGGCGTTTAGGGGTTTGGGAGGAGTCGCGCAGCCTCTTGCTGATGTACTGTCTGCTCTTCTGCCTGTTCGCGCGCACAGCTGTTCTGAGGAGAGTGATGGTCTGAGCTTAGGTTTTGTGTCAGGAGCCTCTTGCCTGGAGCAGTTTGGGGAAATAAAACAAATGGAGCCTTTGCCGATAAGAAGCGGCTGGACAGCTCCGCTTAGGGTGGGAGGGGAACTTTGTCACTCAGCCGCACTCTGACATCCCGCCCTCGTGGGCCAGAGTGTCCCCGTGAGCAGGACTCGGGGGCCTGCAGCTCCCCCTGGGTAAAAGCATTTTCCCCATGAAGGTGGGGAATGATGTGAACCGAGCCAAGGCTCCTGGTCTCAGAGGCCGCCCTGTCGGGGCTCCTCTGGGAAGAGACGGGGCGAGGGTGAGGCTGGTGGGCGGGCTCTGGGCCTAGCCCTCGCACAGTGGGCAGAGGTCAGCGAGTCATCAGGAGCACCTGCTTCCTTTGTTCTTTCACGGCACCCAGCCTCAGTTTGGGCCGGCCGTGGATTTAAAGATAAGTGTTCCGTAAATATTAGTACAGTGGCTGTTGGGGGAGGTAGAAACAGTGACTGTCAGCAACTGAAGTTGGGAAGCTCCGGTGGTGTCCCGACACCCAGAGGGATTTCATCCCTTGGCAGGTGTGTCGTGAGTCATCTGCGGCTGATAATAGCTGAAGGGCTGACAGCTTTGAAAGATGAACTTACGGGAGCGACTTAGGGTTATCCTGTAACAATGTCACCCGCTCGCTCACATGCTGCTCTGCTTCCTGGGGGCGGGGGCCGAAGGCCTGATGAGCCTCCAGGAATGGCTGTGTGTCATGGGGGCAGGTCGGTCATGGGAGGGGCTCCCCCATGGCAGCACCTCTGAACTGTCACAGAGAGCAGGAGGAGGCTGGGAAGCGAGTTCTGGAGCTGCTCTCTTGTGCCAGGCAGGCCTGGTTCTCAGCTCCAGGGCGCTTCAAGCTGAGGGAGCCTGATGCTCCACCCGGCGGCCTTCCTTAGTAGGAGCAGACAGCCCAGCCCCATGGGGCTTAGGCAGTAAGGGGGTTTGTCGGATCAGGGCCCCAAGAGTTGATGGGCAAGGAGGCTTCCAGCCTGTGGGGCCCAGTGGTGTCTTCTGGGGCCTTGTTTCTTTGCATCTCTCACCCTGCCTCTGCGGGGTCAGCTCCGGCCTCAGGCCAGGCACCCTTGTGGCTGGGAATGGGTGTAGCAGCAGCTCAGGGCTTCTCTGCCACCCACTGCCCCATCCAGCAGGAGGGAAAGCAGGCCTGTGTCCTAGTTGTCCACACAGGAGACCCAGCGGTCCCCTTGGCCGCACTGGCTTAAGTCATGTGCCCACCTGGACCAATGGCTGTGGCCTGGGAGTGGCTGTGCTGACTGGCTGAGTGGATCAGTGGCTGGGACTGGGGCAGCTCAAGGCTGTCTGGAACAGGTGGAAAATTGCAGTGAGGGCCCTGTTGCAAGCACACGTGCTAACCCATTCCCTCCTGTGAGGCAGGTGCTGTAACCCCGTTTTACAGATGGGGAGACTGAGGCCTAGAGAGGTGAAGTAGCTTGTCTACCTCTCACTGCCAGTATATGGCAGCGCAGGATTAGAACTGGTGTCTCTCTGGCTCCAGAGCCCATCATAGCCAGCACCCCCACCCCCACCCCATCCCGTCATAGCCAGCACCCCCACCCCCACCCCATCCCGTCATAGCCAGCACCCCCACCCCCACCCCATCCCATGATAGCCAGCACCCCTGCCCCACCCCATCCCATCATAGCCAGTCATAGCCAGCGCCCCCACCCCCACTCCATCCCATCATAGCCAGCACTCCTACCCCTACCTTACCCCAGCCAACCTGGGGCTGCTGGGTCATCTGACACTGGGCTGGCTGTCTTGGGAGGTCACACTCCTCCCTGGGCCTCAGTGCCCCATCTGGAAAGTGAAGCAGTAGCCGAGGGACCCTCTCAAGGCTCTGCCCTTAGCTGGGCCATTGTCCTATGTCCCTGTCCTGGCCAGGGCTCACCTTCCTGGCCCCAGAACCCGGCAGTGGCCAGTCCTTTCATGAGGTCCATGCGTGACTGTATTGGGGGGCATCCTTGGGCGGCCCCATTTCTCCCCGACCTGCCTTAGACTGCCCCTTGGCCCTGCCGCCTCCCCAAGGACATCTGCTCCCCTAAAACCCATCTTTAGGCCACTGTTCTGTGCCACCACCCAGATTCCTGGAACAGATTCCTTCCAGGGAGTGAGTCCTGTTACATTATTCCTGCCCTGGGCACGCACATGGCCTCCCCTACCAGAGCCCCACATTAAACCCCCAGCCACTTGGTTCTGTACCCCCTTATGAGCTGGCATCTGAGCCGCTCCCACTGATCAAGGGGTCTGCAGGCTGGGCTGCCTTAGGATGCTTTCAGTGGTGAATGAGAACTGCTCTTTTTTTTTTTTTGAGGACGATAGCCCTGAGCTAACATCTGCTGCCAATCTTTCTCTTTTTGCTGAGGAAGACTGGCCCTGAGATAACATCTGTGCCCATCTTCCTCTACTTTATATGTGGGACGCCTGCCACAGCATGGCTTGCTATGCATGGCATATCTGCACCCGAGATCCGAACCGGCAAACCCCGGGCCGCCCAAGCGGAACATGTAAACTTAACCACTGTGCCACTGGGACGGCCCCAGAACTGCTCTTTTAAGTTGCAGACACAACCTCTTCCCCGCTCCATTGCTCTATCCCGAGGCCTCCTCGATGGGGGCCCTGGGGGTAGGGGTGCAGGTTAGAAGGACCCCCGCCTCTGATTCCTCCTCTGGCCCATGTGTCCATAGGAGCCTAAGTCCTCTGGACAGCTCATGGCTGAGTGGGGCCTGGATGACGTGGACTACCTGTTTTCAGAGGCTGACTACCACACGCTGACCAACTACAAGGCCTTCAGCCAGTTTCTCAGGTGGGCCGTGGGGCCGGCTGCCATGGCTGGGCGTCCATGGGGACTGACTTTGAGGCCTGCACTCCCCAGGTGGCATCAAGTCGGGGTGGTCAGAAGGACAGAACCCTGGGCTTGTGGGGTGGGGTGGGGCTGTCAGGCCAACACTGACCCCAGGCAGAGCTGGCAGGTGGAGGAAGGACCCCCTTCACTGTGGCAGATGAACACACATTTAATTGATAGTGGTCCCAGTCAATCCCAGAGGCCTTAGGCCCCCATGGCCTCTCTCAGCTCTGGAAGAACTGGGACCAGACACCCAGTGGTCTGCTGCAGGCCCCTCTCTCTGGCCCCTCAAGTCTTGCAGGGTCAGGAAACCCAATTGGAACATCACCAGTCTTATAAACAGGGAATCAAGAATGTTTGGGGGTGGACTGCTGTCTCAAGCTTTGTCCTCTTCCCTGCTCCCCCTTTCTGCCCAGTTTTCCCAACCTGGAACATGGGGCTGGTGCCACATATCCCAGGGGTGGGAGAAGGGTGGGTCCTGCTCGGGGTCCCTTGGTGGGGGGCGTCTTATGCCTCCACAGCGCTGCCCTCACCTTCCCGCCTCACTCCCCGATGCAGGCCGCTCATCGCCAAGAAGAACCCGAAGATCCCCATGTCCAAAATGATGACCGTCCTGGGTGCCAAGTGGCGGGAGTTCAGCGCCAATAACCCCTTCAAGGGAAGCTCGGCGGCAGCAGCTGCAGCGGCAGTGGCTGCAGCTGTGGAGACTGTCACCATCGCCCCTCCGCTGGCCATCAGCCCCCAGCAGCCACCCCAACCTGTGCCCATCCGCAAGGCCAAGACCAAGGAGGGCAAGGGTAAGGCTGCGGGTGGATGGGCCCCAAGCCCTGGAGCCTGGGGCAGCTGGAGTGGCCTTTATTAAGGACCCAGTGCCTCGTTTGACCTCGAACCCACTCCCCCTCTCTCAGCTGTAATGCAGCATCTTCGTAGCTTCTGTCTTGCCTGCCTTTTGGGGCTGGTGGAGAAGCGGAGGAGACAGTGTGCTCAGAGCTTTGGGAGTTTTGTGCCTGGCCCCCTCTGACTTGGCCATGGCGAGAGGGAGAGCAGAGGCCCATGCTGCTGGGAGTCAGGGGGCTCTTGAGTTTGAGGCTGTGTCATTCCCAGGGAGAAGGGGTCCCAAGGTTAGCTCATTGATCCTTCATGTCTGAGTACCTACTGTGTGCAGGGCTGTTCCCCAGGCCCTCGAGGTAAAAGACGTGCATGGGCGTGGGCATGGTCCCTGCTGGCTTCCTGGGGAGGCCTGGAAGGTGGTCCAGATGCTAAATCAGACTCAGTGGTGGCGTGTCTGGGTGTCTGGGTGCCTGGGTGGGGAGAAGGGGGACAGTAGAGGCTCTCTGGGACTTGAAGTTCTGGGGGAGGGAGATCCCCTGGGTGGAGGGTTTCTGGTCCCTTGGGGGTGGGGACATTGATCTCCCAGGGCTCTCAATGGTGGGGTCGCTCACAGCTCAGCTTTCCTGGGTGCCCTGAGTTGGATTTTGATGGGAGGCTGAAAGGGCTCTGGGGACCCCATTTTTCAGCCTCAAGGAGCTTTGGTTTCTGGGCCCATGTCCCCTTTGCCGGGTCCCTGCAGGGCCTGGTGGGGAGAGTGACATGGGGTTTAGAGACTGCTCCTGGTCTCCTGCTGCGCCGTCCTCCACCCTGGGCCCTCCCAGCCTGCCTCGCTTTCTAATTTCCTCCCGGGCTCCAGCCGCTGAGCTAATCGATTCCCTGGGCCGCCTATTCAGAGCCTGAAAAATTGAAATAGATTTTCCGTGGCACTGCCGAGGGTACGGCTGGGCTCCCAGCCCATCTCCCTGTGTGTGGTACGGCTGGTGGAGGGCCTGGGGCGAGGCCACCTGCCTCCAGGCCCCCATCTTCCCTGCTCGGCGGTGGGAGAGGCCATTGGAGGGTCATTACTACTCAGGTGGCTAATTGTCCCGTGGCCAGCTCCATAAAAATGGCCTTAACCCTGCTGGCTACCTGGGAGCTAGCGTTTCCTGGGGTGACTGGCATAGGTAAGACAGCCTTGGGTGGTGCCAGCATTGCCTGGCTGGCAGCTGGGGAAAGGGCCTCCTGCCCTCCCACATCCCTTCAGGACCCAGGTAGGGGCCAGAGGTAGGTGGGTGTGCCCACAGTGGCTCTGCTGGCCATGGGGGCCCATGGCCCCACTGGGGACCACTCCTTTCTGGGGAGAGGGGGCAGGACAGTGTTGTTCCAAGATGGCCAGCATTTGCATTGTTGGTGGAAGAGGCAGCATGGTGGCCAGAGCAGAGCCTGGCTCGGGGAGATTCTCTGGCTCCCCCGTCACCTACTGTGTAACTTTAAGCAAGGACTTGACCTCTCTGAGCCTCGGTCTTCTCATCTGAAAAGCATGACAATGACGGAAGTAGTCCTTTCCTTGTCGAGTTACTGTGAGGGTGGAGGGTACTCTGGGTGGTGGAGCGGCAGCAAGGTGTGGCCGGGCTGCTATCCCACTTTACTTTTCAGGGCCAGGAGTGAGGAAGAAGATCAAAGGCTCCAAGGACGCAAAGAAGAAGGGCAAAGGGAAGAAGGTGTCTGGGCTCAAGTTCCGCTTCGGAGGGGTCGGCCCCAAGAGGAAGAGAGGCTCCTCGGTGAGCATGAGTGTGAGTGTGTGAGAGCGAGCGTGTGTGAGTGTGTGAGCGCGTGTGAGTGTCTGAGCAGGAGCGTTGTGTGAGAGCATGTGTATGTGAGTGTTGTATGAGTGTGAGCATGAGTCTGCATGAGTGTGAACATGAGTGTGTGAGCGTGTGTATGAGTGATCATGAGTGTGTGGGGGTGTGAGTGTGTGAGAGAGGTGGACTGGAATGTGAATGTGTGTGTGAGAGACAGTGGGGCTGCACGTACTTGAGTGTGTGTGGGTGTGTGGACATGTGAGCAGCCTTGGGTTGCATTTGCACATCTGCATGTGTGCTGAGTATGCATGGCACACAAAAGTTGGGGTGACTGTGGAAAGCAGGGCTGTCAGTTCATCCTGAATGGGGTGGGGCAGGTCCTGCAAACCCCGCCCATTCTACATGAGGCCTACTGGGCCTCAGTTTCCCTGTCTGACTGGGGAGGGGTTCAGACTGGATCTTCCAAAGGCCCCTGTCGCTTGGCCTCTGGTGGGACCTCTCCTGCCCACCTTGCTGAGCTGAGAGCTTGGTCCTGGCTCCCACTGCCCTCAGCTGCAGCTCCATCTGGGCAGCGGGTGGGAGAGTATGGGACAGCATGTGTGTCTGAGCGTGAGCATTGTGTGAGAGCATGTGTATGTGAGCGTGTGTATGAGTGTGAGCATGAGTGTGTGAGCCTGGCTGCCCAGGTCTGCTGGGAGGGTGGACCCCAGGAAGGCGGCATGCAGGCAGGATCAGGCTGGGCTGGAGCCCTGCCCCTCTCTTACCCTTCCAGAGCCAGCTCTGGCACCAGGTTCAGACTGCCCCTAAGTCCACGTCTGGGCCTTTGGTACCTCCCTCCTCCGTGGGGGGTGGCATTCACACATACCTGCCCCCCCCCCCCCCCGCAACCATTTCCCTCACCTGGCCCCAGCCCTGCAGAGGGGCAGAGGTGGAAGCCACTGCTCTGTGTCTTGGTGGAAGTAAGTGACAGGTCTCGAGTTTAGCTACTCGGGAGGGGAGCATGGAGCAGCAGGTGTGGCCCGGGCTGGAGCTGGTGGTCCAGCTTAGCTCAGCAAATATTTCTTGAGCACATACTAATGTGCTAGGCCCTCTGCTGAGCCATGGAGGGCCCTGCTCCAGAGGCACGCACAGTCTGGAGGGGGCTCGGGCATGTACACTGGGAGAGAGCCAGTGACAGGCAGATGGGACAGACCAGACCTGTCACACAGGCTGTGCAACAGGTCCAGTTAAGGAGAGGTCTGGGAAGCCTCCTTGGGGGAGACGTCCTTAGGAATGCTCCCTGAGGGATGTGTAGGAGTTTGGCAGGGTGGAGGGCAGGGCCCGGGGAGAAGCAGGGAGGTGGAAAATGTGGGAAGTGTCTGAGGGCAGGGAGAGCAGAGCTTGTGGGGGTGGTAGGACATCAGGCTGGACCAGTGGGCTGGGCCCTTGGGATTTCTAGCTGGGTGAGGAGACGAGAAGAGACAGGGAGCACGGTGCCTCTGGTGCTCCGAGGTGCTCCGCCCTACCCCACCGTCTGCCCAGGCCAATGAAGCTCTCAGGACGAGCCTGCCAGGCAGGCCCTGGGCTCAGAGAGCCCTCCCCCGCCCCTGCAGAGCGAGGAGGATGAGCGGGAGGAATCGGACTTCGACAGCGCCAGCATCCACAGCTCCTCCGTGCGCTCGGAGTGCTCTGCAGCCCTGGGGAAGAAGAGCAAGAGGAGGCGCAAGAAAAAGAGGAGTAGGACTGCCCATCTGCGGGGTTCCCGTGGCCCCATGGTGGATGCGGAGGGTGCAGAGCCCCCTTTGGGAAGTGGAGGAGGGCATCCTCATGCCTCAGCCTCTCCTGGCCTCAGCCAGGCAGTTCCCCTGTGTTTTTCCTCAACCACCCTGGTCTCTATGGTCAGGAGAGGGGGTCTTGTCCCAGTGAGGCTAAATTAGGGACCTATGGTGTGAGCCAACCCAGGGCATTTGCACTGGCTGAGGGGGGTACCAGGGAAGAAAGTGCTTCTTAACCTTATCCACCATCTGCCATTCAGTCATCCACCACTCTACCCATCCTTCCTCTTTCTATCCCTCCTTCTCTCCCTCCTTCACTTCCCTTTATCCATCCATCCATTCATTTTTCTATTCATCCCACTACCTCCTACCCTCCCTTTTATCCATCATCTATCTCTTCACCCTTTTATTCCCTCAGCCATCCCCCCAACATTGCTTCACCCCATCTGTCCATCCACCATCCATTTATCCAGCACCTATTAAGCACCTAGTATGTGCCAGTCCAGCTTTGGGTGGAGATTGGTTGGGCATGGGGAGTGGGGATGAGACCCTCCATGACCCCTCTGCCCCCTCCCCAGTTGATGATGGTGATGGCTATGAGACAGACCACCAGGACTACTGTGAGGTGTGCCAGCAGGGCGGCGAGATCATCCTGTGCGACACCTGCCCACGGGCCTACCACCTCGTCTGCCTCGACCCAGAGCTGGAGAAGGCTCCCGAGGGCAAGTGGAGCTGTCCCCACTGTGTAAGCCCCTGGCAGAGGCCCTGGGGCAGGTTGCAGCCTGTGCCTGGCTCCCGGGACCCCTGTGCTGGTCATCTCGGGGCAGAACGTGAGGAAGTGCCGAGTGGGAGGGAGGGAGTCGCACCTGGTGGAGGGGGTCCCGGCCCAGGGTGCCTCCACTTGGACTCCCCCCTCCAGGAGAAGGAGGGGATCCAGTGGGAGCCGAAGGACGAGGAGGAGGAGGAGGAGGAGGGCGGCTGCGAGGAGGAGGAAGACGACCACATGGAGTTCTGCCGCGTGTGCAAGGATGGCGGCGAGCTGCTCTGCTGCGACGCCTGCCCCTCCTCCTACCACCTGCACTGCCTCAACCCGCCGCTGCCCGAGATCCCAAACGGTGAATGGCTGTGCCCGCGCTGTACTGTGAGTGTTACGCCGGACCGCGCCGAATGCCCCGCCCTGCGGGCCAGGCCCCGCCCCCGCCAGCCCCACCCACCAAGGCCACGCCCCCAGCAGGTCCTGGCCACCCACGCCCCGCCTCCGCTGGCCCAGGCCACGCACTTCCACAAAAAGTCCCGCCCCAGCCGCTCTAGGTCCCACCCACTAAGGCCCCGCCTCTGCTGGTCCCGAGCCCACCCAGAGCTCCCCGCCTACCGAGGCGTCGGCCCCCCTCGCCTGCCCTGGCCCCACCGCCCAGCCCTCGCCCCCGTAAGGCCTTGCCCCGCTGGCGGCGAGCCCAGCCCCCGAGTCCCGCCCACCGCCACCCCCTCTGCGTTTCAGTCCCCATAAAACTCAGGTGCAGTTTTCTTACCCGAAACCTGAGCCGCTATGAGAAGAGAGACACAGGTGGTGGTGATAATGGCACGGCCCACCACAGCCACTGTCACTGGGCGTCTCTAATGCCTAGCGAGTTTTCAGTACCAGGCATTCTGTTAGTCCCATTTTTAGATGAGAAAACTGAGGGAGGTAGAGTGACTTGCCTGAGCCCACATAACAGCAGAACTGACCACTCAGACCCACCCTGTCGCTGGCTCCTGGCTTATGGCTAGGGGTGGTGAGAGGGTAGATGGCCCCTGGGGCTGAAGCCGCAGTTGCCACAGGGAGAGGAGAGCGCCCCCCACCCGCGCCCCCAGTCACTGTAGGCATTTGAAGGCCCCCATGCTCCGAGTTGTCCCCCAGGCCCAGCCCCAGCGCTGGATCCCTCCCCATGGGTGCTGGGCTGTGCTGTGGCCAGCTCTTGGTTGCCCTGTGTGCCCGTGGGCTTCTGTTGTGTGTGTGCGCAAGTGGGTACGTGTGTGCAGACCCATATGGCCCGTCTCCTGCATGCACAGCATCACGGGCTCCTGAGCACAGGGCGGGTGTTGTGGAGTCACTGTGCTGCTGTCTGACATGGGGAGCAGGGCAGCCTGTTGGAGGGAGCTTTGTGACAGCCTGCTGTCACTGGAGCCTCAGGGTGGGGCCCTGAACTTGGGGATCCTCCTCTGTCTACAGTGTCCCCCACTGAAGGGCAAAGTCCAGCGGATCCTACACTGGAGGTGGACGGAGCCCCCAGCCCCCTTCATGGTGGGGCTACCAGGGCCCGATGTGGAACCTGGCGTCCCACCCCCCAAGCCTCTGGAGGGCATCCCAGAGAGAGAGTTCTTTGTCAAGTGGGCTGGGCTCTCCTACTGGCACTGCTCCTGGGTGAAGGAGCTACAGGTGAGGCACCTGGGCAGCTGTGGCTGTGCCAAGGTGGTCAGCTCCCCAAGCAAGGGGCATAGTTGGGAGTTGGGGAGGGGGAGGCTGAGGGTGAGGATTGTCCTGCCTGGGACCCAGGCTGGGGACTGGGGCAGCTGGCTTGGGAGGCGCCATGCTCCCTCCCATAACCTCTGACCCCTCGGTGAGCAGCTGGAGCTATACCACACGGTGATGTACCGCAACTACCAAAGAAAGAACGACATGGACGAGCCGCCACCCTTTGACTATGGCTCTGGCGATGAGGACGGCAAGAGTGAGAAGAGGAAGAACAAGGACCCCCTCTATGCCAAGATGGAGGAGCGCTTCTACCGCTACAGCATCAAGCCGGAGTGGATGATGATCCACCGCATCCTGAACCACAGGTGCGTGCCGGCAGGTGCAGCCCGGAGCCTCGCTGGAGGTGGGCGCCCACAGGTCCCGGACACACTGGCTCCTCCCGCGGCGGGAGGAAGGGGCCGAGGGCCCCCACTGTCCAGCTGGAGAGGTTGTCATATGTGCACGGGCACATGCATGCACACTCACATATGCACACACGTCATAGTCGTGGTGGGAGAGCAGTTGCAAAGTCACACACATAAAGGGGCAACTTGACGCACGGCCTGTGAAACTTGCACAGAGTGGGGCCCTCGATGGGTGGGGACCCTGTGCTCCGGGTTTCTGTCGAAGTTAGTGCTCAATAACCTGTAGGAGGGTCCCGGGGATGGAGGTGGACCTGAGGTGTGTACACATTTGCCCCTCCTTTGTAACAACAGCTAACTGAGCACCATCCGTCCCAGGAGGTGGGCGTTTTATTTCTACCTCTGTTCTCTGGATGCGAGAGCAGGCACAGCAAAACTAAATCACTTGCCCAAAGTCACACAGCCAGGAAGCAGCGGAGCTGGGATTTGAACCCAGTGCTTTCTGATGGTAGGACTTGCTTTCTTGGCTGTGGAGCCAAACGCCAGTGCCCCTGAGACAACTCTGTTGAGCAGTCTAGAAATTCCCAGGTGGCAGTGATAAGGGGCTGCAGCAGGCAGGACGAAGAGGCCAGGCAGGAGGCCTGTGGACGCCACGAGTTTGACTTTGTTTGGCCAACGGTAGGAGCTCTTGCTGATTCTTGAGCTCAGGGCTTGAGAACTGGCTGTGGCCTACAGGTGGCGCAAGGCGGGGCTCGGGGTGCTTGCCGCATGGTGGCGGGCACGCAGCCTCACAATTGCTACCCATCTCGACTCATGGGTTCTGCCTTTGGGGCACATGGGATGCAGTAGACCATAGGCCTCCTGGAGGCACCCGCTGGGCAGAGCAGAGGTCGAGAATCTGAGCCAGCCTCTCAGATTCCAGTCTGGCTCGCCGCTTCCTGGGCTCTGTGCCGCAGTGTTGCTCGTGTAAAATAGGATGACGAAAGGAGCCCGCAGGGCACTTGCCTGCTAGTGCGGCCTTAGTAAGAGAAGGGCTTGAGAAGTTGACAAAGCTGCTCTCCTTGACTATTAACAGCCCCCCCAGCCCTCACTGAGAATGACCCTGAGAAAGAGGGTCAGTTCCTCTGGGAACCCCGACCTCCCATTGAACTGTCCTGCCATTTTTAACTTTTATTAAATTGCACGTTAAAAACGTAAATGGCAAGTTTTCTCCCTGTCTCCAACGTGGGGCCGGTGCATCTCCCCTCAGTTTGTTATCCAAAGTCTGAGTAACAACCCACTATCGAAAATATTCCATCGGTCTCAGGTGGCTGGAGAGTGGTCTTTCTCTTACTGGTCCCCAGGCGAGCCGCAGCCACGGCTCCCCGGCCCCGAGTGCTCCCTGGGCTCGGCTGCCCGGTCAGCTCAGGTTGGGTGGGAGACCCCCAGGACCTTCCAGGGGCCAGATTCAAGCCGAAGTGCAGGTGCTTCTCTGGAGCCCCCCTCTGTGGCTGGGTCCCGTGTCACACGGGGCCTTCCGAGGAGGCCATCCCACCTGCGGCAGTCGGTCCTTGTCTGCTTCGTGGAGATGGATGGGCTCCGCTCTCGCTCTTTGAAGTTTTTAAGTTAGAAAACAAAGCCCTACGGTCAGGGGAGAGAACCGTCCAACTCAGAAATTCAGAATTCTGCTGTCCAGCCCCCACGCCTGGATGGGATTCATCGCTGCAACGGAGAATGATAGAAAGGACGCTGGCTCCTTGCTCTCCTGCTGGCCTGTCCTCTCTGCCACTTCCTCCCTCCCTCTCACTAGCTGTGTGGCCTTGGGCAAGCCACCTCACCTCTCTGGAGCCACTGCCCGGGCGTCGCTCCCCTGGCTGGGGCCAGGATCCGGGGGACCATGGGAGTGAGGGGTTTTGCATCCTGTGAGGCGCCCTTCATGCACTCTCGCTGCGGCCGATGCCTGAGTGACCCGCCCTCCCCCCCACCCGTTTACTGTGTTGCAGCTTCGACAAAAAGGGGGATGTGCACTACCTGATCAAGTGGAAAGACCTGCCCTACGACCAGTGCACCTGGGAGATCGACGACATCGACATCCCCTACTACGACAACCTGAAGCAGGCCTACTGGGGCCACAGGTGGGCCACGGCAAGTGGGCGCTGGGCTGGGGTGCCCCCGGGGCGGTCGTCTCTGGCTGGCCTGAGCTTTGCTCACCTGCACCCCACATTCTTTCCCAGGGAGCTGATGCTGGGAGAGGACGCCAGACTGCCCAAGAGGCTGGTCAAGAAGGGCAAGAAGCTGAAGGACGACAAACAGGAGAAGCCACCGGACACGCCCATTGTGGATGTGAGTGGGGAAGGGGACACGGAGGCAGGGGGGCTGCCAGGACCTCCACACCAGGCTTGGCCACAGAGGAGGGCCTGTTCTCCAGGGGACTCTACCCTGGGCCCTCCCGGCCTGTGCACACGAGCCATGCCCCTGCAGGAGGGGGCGTGCCAGGGGCCCCGCGGTCCAGTCCACTCACCCCAGGCGCCTGACGGGACAAGGATGACAAGACAACCCCTCCCTGCAGGGTGACCTCACACCCTGGGGTCTCGGTCCCCCAGCTTCATGCAGCGTGGCAGCTCCTGCAGATCAAGGTCTTGGCTTCCTGTGCAATCTGAAATGTGGGTCAGAGGGGGCACAAACTGGGGGGCAGGTAGTTTCTACCGGGCTCACAGATGTACGTGACTTTCCATGAGCTAATTCCAAGGATTTAAATCAAAAAGTGTCTCTAATTTCAGAATCGCGATAGCTGATATGCTAATCGCACACCATTCTTGTCTGTTCAGGGGAGGAGACTCACAAGTGCCCGGGGGCTTGGCGCTCCTCCGGGACTGGAAGGGTGACTTAGTCATTTAGCAGACCTCCCTGGGGTATCTGTCGGCACCTGACCCTGGGCTGGCCCTGGGGGGACAAGCGCCCTGGCCCCCTGTTTCAAGAAGTGCCCATCTCCCAGGGGCCTGTGGCGGGAACACAAAGAACATGCGGTTCACCCTGGGACTGTGGGATGCCAGGAAAGGCAGCTGGGTCTGGTACACTGGGAGGACTTCATGGGGGAGGTAGCCTTGAGCTGCAGGATGAGAGGCAAGGAGGACGATGTTCTGGATCGAGCTGTGAAGCGCCCCAGGCATGCATTGAACAAATGTTGAACAAGTGCCCACCACATCCCAGGCACTATATGGAACTTAGAGGAAACGGTGGTGACAGGACCGGTGTGGTGACCACAACCTGGGCTCGAAGTCAGAGAATCCAGCAAGAAGGAAACTGCCCTGATAGAAGAAGTACAGGGCACCGGAGCTCATGGTGGGGACACCTAAGCCAGGCTGGGAGTCAGTGAGGGCTTCCTGGAGGAAGAGGCATTCCAGCCAAGACCTAAGTTAGTAGGGACGAGAGGAGTGGGAAGAGCATTCCAGGCAGAAGGAGTTGTGGGTGCAAAGGCCGGGGGGGTGCGCTCTGGTGGCCTAGGGCTCAGGGTGTGTCTGAAGCTCTGCCTCCTCTGCAGCCCACGGTCAAGTTTGATAAGCAGCCGTGGTACATCGACTCCACGGGCGGCACGCTGCACCCATACCAGCTGGAGGGCCTCAACTGGCTGCGCTTCTCCTGGGCCCAGGGCACCGACACCATCCTGGCTGACGAGATGGGTCTGGGCAAGACGGTGCAGACTATCGTCTTCCTCTACTCCCTGTACAAGGAGGTGCGCCGTGGGGGTACGCGGCCGCGGAGGGCTGCCTGGCGCCGGCTGTGGGCAGGCGGCCTCACCGCGTCCCTCTCCGTGTCCAGGGGCACTCCAAGGGGCCCTACCTGGTCAGCGCGCCCCTGTCCACCATCATCAACTGGGAACGTGAGTTTGAGATGTGGGCGCCTGACTTCTATGTGGTCACCTACACGGGGGACAAGGAGAGCCGTTCCGTTATCCGGGAGAATGAGTTCTCCTTTGAGGACAACGCCATTCGGAGCGGGAAGAAGGTGTTCCGCATGAAGGTGAGCACCTCCATCCCCAGGGAGGACTCTGGAGGGGCACCTGGTCTGCCCTGGGGGCCACACGGGCTCTCCAGTCTGTTGGGGGTCCCTCTGCTCTGGCTCCCTTGGAGGCCAGTGGCTGGCAAAGAGCTTCTCTTTCTTTTTTTTTCAATTATAAGAATAGTAATTTGTTTTTTTTTTTTTTTTTGGTGAGGAAGATTGGCCCTGAGCTGACATCTGTTGCTAATCTTCCTCTATTTTTTTCTCCCCAAAGTCCTAGTACCTAGTTGTATATCCTAGTTATAAGTTCTTTGGTTCTTCCATGTGGGACACTGCCATGGCATGGCTTGATAAGTCATGTGTAGGTCCACACCTGGGATCTGAACCTGTGAACCCCAGGCTGCCGAAGCGGAGTGCACAAACTTAACCGCTATGCCACTGGGCTGGCCCTGCAAAGAGCTTCTCTTGAGGCAGTTACCAGCTGTGTCAGTGTCCTGGGGCTGCCGTAACAAAGTACCACAAACTGGGGGACTCAAAACAATAGAAACTTACTCTGTCACCATTCTAAGGGCCAGAAGTCCGAAACCCAAGTGTCGGCGGGGCCACGCTCCCTCTGAAGGCTCCAGGGGAGGGGCTGTCCTTGCCTCTGCCAGGTTCTGGGGGCTGCAGGCCCTCCTGGGCATCCCTTGGCTTACAGCTGCATCACTCCCACCTCTGCTCTGTCGTCACATGGCCGCCTCCCCTTTGTGTCTGTGTCGTCTCATAAAGACACCACTCATTGGGTTTAGGGGCCACCCTACTCCAGAATGACCTCCTCTTAACTAGTTACACCTGCAAAGACCCTATCTCCAAAAAAGGTCACATTCTGAGGTTCTGGGTGGACATGAATTCTAGGGGGATACAATTCAGTCCCGTACACCAGCTGTGTGATCTCTGGCAAGTCACTCAGCTTCTCTGTGCCTCAGATTCTTCCTAGCAAAATGGAGATAGCAGCTCCATCCCCTAGAGCTGTGGAGGCCTGAAGGAGTGAGCGAGCACTGGGCAGGGCCTGGCAGACCCCCTTGTGCCTGCGAGTCACCAGGGGTCTTGCGGAAGGGCAGGCTCTGGTCCGGCAGCTCTGGGGTGGGGCCTGAGACTGCATTTCTGACAAAGTCCCAGGTGATGCAGACGCTTCTGGTCCCCGGACGGCCCTTTGAGAAGCACTGAGGACAGTGCCTGCACGTAGCAGGCCTCAGCAAGTCGTTTTGCTCCCATGAGCTGCGGTGCTGGGGGCTGGCAGAGGCGGGTCATCCCCAGCCCCCCAGAGTTTCTGCCCTCAGCTTTCTCCATCGTCACAATAGTCGTGGCCCCAGGAGACGCTCAGGAGCTCTGTGTTGAATGAGGGAAGGATTCAGGGATCCCAGCAGTGACTCTGCAGACCAGTTAGTCCCACGGAGAACTTCGCCTGCACTCGCGCTGGGATCCCGAGACGGGCCCGGCCCTCCACGGACTCAGCTCTTCTATTTTACTTTTTAAAACTGTGGGAAAATTCACAGAAACATAGTATTTCCCGTCTTAACCATCCGTAAATGTGCAGTTCAGGGGGAGTCAGAGCATTCGCATTGTTGTGCAGACATCTCCACCATCTGCCTCCTTTTGTCTTGCAAAACTGGAGCTCTGTCCCCCTTAAACGCTGACTCCCCGTCCTCCTGTCCCCAGGCCCTGGCACCTGCATTCTCCTCAGTCTGTCTGAGTTTGACGCCTCTCGGTACCTCATAGCAGTGGGCTCACACAGAACTTGTCCTTTTGTGTCGGCTCATTTCACTCAGCATGACGTCCTTTCCCTGCCGAGCGTGTGTCAGGCTTTCCTTCCTCCTGAAGGTGGAGTGATATCCCATTGTGTGGATGGGACACATGTCGTTTATCGGTCCTCTGTCCACAAGCACGTGGCTTGTTTCCACCTTTTGGCTATTGTGAATAATGCTGCTGTGAACATGGCTATGCAAATATTCGTCCAAGTGCTTTCTTTCCCTTCTCTTGGGTATGTACCCAGCAGTGGCCTTGGTGGACAGTATGGTAATTCTCTGTGCCATTCCTTGAGGAACAGACTTAGCTCTTATAGTTGTCGTGGCGAGACAGCATCCTGCCTTTTACAGGGGAGGAGGCTGGGGTTCAGGGAGGTTAATGAACTTGACTCGGGTCTAGCTCAGAGGGGCAGGGCCGGCTGCAAAACCTTTTGCAACCTGTAGGCAAAGCCTGTGCCACAAGGCCTCTGTCCCTCTCCGATCCCTTTCCACAGGGACTTGGGTGGTGCTTGGCTTGGCCAGGAGGGATTCCAGCACTTGTGAGGCTCAGTGCCGAATGGCCATGCAGGACACAGCTTTTTCTTTTCTTGCTTGACCTACCATGGTGTTTTTTATTTGCTATTTAACGTTACATTCCCTCAGCAGAGGGACACTTGCAGGGTGGATGTCCCCCCATGTCCTTGCCCAGGCCCCTGCTGGGGGTGGAAGGCAGCAGGCTTCCCTGGGCAGGGGCAGGGGAGCAGGGGCTAAGAACCTGGCCGGGCGTGCCCAGGCTCCCAGCCCCCAGCACTCATGCGATTGCTCTGTAGGCCTTCTCGTGCAAAACACAAATTCAGCAGTGAGATTATTCAGAATTTCAAGTTGGTGACTGCAGAGCATTGAACCCCAAGTGCAGGTCCCTTTCTCTGTTCGAATCCTGGCTCTGCCGTTTGTTGGCCATGGGGACCTGGGGAAAGTTATCCAGCCTGAGACCCCATGAGCCGTCCCTGGGGACAATGGTAACGTAGCCTGGATGATTTGTGAGGGTGAGGGGAGAGTCCAGTGAGGAACCAAGCCCAGGGCTTCCCCGTGCAGCCCGGTCCAGAAGTGGCAGCTCCTGTGCTCGTGAGCCCTGGTGCCGGCAGCAGCTTCGTTCTCCACGCCAGCGCTCCTGGGGACTGTGCTCCGAGCCTCAGCCGCCCCCCTCTGCTTGGTGGCCAGCATCTTCCTCTCAGTCCCAGGGGCTCCCTGGGGTCCTGGGGGTTCCCGTTCACGCCTCCTCCTTGCCTCGTTGTCTCTAGACACGTCGATCTGCTCGCCTCCCAGCTCTCCTCCCAAACGCTCCTCTTTCCCTCCAGAAAGAAGTGCAGATCAAATTCCATGTCCTGCTCACCTCCTACGAGCTCATCACCATCGACCAGGCCATCCTGGGCTCCATCGAGTGGGCCTGCCTCGTGGTGGACGAGGCCCACCGGCTCAAGAACAACCAGTCCAAGGTAGGCAGTGCTGCCCGCTGGCTCCTGGGGCCGCCCTGGGTGGGCCGGCTGCCTCGTGCCCCCTGACGGGCCCCCTGTGCTCCTCGAAGTTCTTCAGGGTCTTGAACAGCTACAAGATCGATTACAAGCTGCTGCTGACGGGGACCCCCCTTCAGAACAACCTGGAGGAGCTGTTCCATCTCCTCAACTTCCTGACTCCAGAGAGGTTCAAGTGAGTCGGAAGATCTGGCTGGGGAGCGGGCGCTGGGGTGGCCAGGCAAGAAGTGTCAGTGTCCGATGCTGGCCCAGACTGCTTGCTGTGTCCTCATCAGTCATGTGGGAGCGTTAGCAGCGTCCACCTCAAATGGCCTGCACTGGAGGGGACCCAATGCCAGCACACGCTGAGTGCTCGTAAACATCAGCTGCTGCTAACACCGTGATTTTTCCACAGCTTTGCGCCTAAGGGGGTCCTCCTGGGGCTTCTGTCCCTGCCCCCACACCCCTGTCTCATTCCTTTCCCTCCACAAGACCTAAGTGACTACATGGGCAACAGTGATGGAGGCAGAAGGCCAGGGGTGGCGGTGGTGGAGCCCTGGCCAGGAGAAGTCCTGAGGTCTCCTTCCCCGGCCTCCTTGTCTTCACCTACCCCCATTTTCCTGCCAAGAATGGGGGTTCAGGGTGGAGAGTGCTGATTTTGGCATCGGGAGATGTCAGTTGGAGGGCAGGCTGCCTCGTATACCTTGGGCACTCATCAGCTTCAGTTTCCTTAGCTGTAAGAAGGGTAAGAATCCGAGAGTTCTTGTCTAGGATGGCTTTGGGGATAAGAAGGTATTCTATGTGGCTGAGAAAGATGTGATGTGTGGGGTGACACAGGCTTAGACAGAGAGTGAAAGGGCACCCAGGGTGTGGCTGGGCTCCCTGGCCCACCAGCCAGCAGGCCTGCCCTGTGATCCTCTGGCAAGTGGCAGGGGGCTGCCTGACTGGCTTCCCCCACAATCCTGCCTCCTTCTGCAGAGGGTTTTGGCCTGCTCTGCGCCCTTCTCTTGGCTCTCATCCCAGCTCTTTCTTGCAGCAACCTAGAGGGCTTCCTGGAGGAGTTTGCCGACATCTCCAAAGAAGACCAGATCAAGAAGCTGCATGATCTGCTGGGGCCGCACATGCTGAGGCGGCTCAAGGCTGACGTCTTCAAGAACATGCCGGCCAAGACCGAGCTGATCGTCCGCGTGGAGCTGAGCCAGATGCAGAAGTGAGTGGAGGCTCAGCCCATTGGGGGCCCGCCCCGGAGCAGCCTGCCCCTCTCCCCTGGGCTTGTCTCCTCTGCCACCCCTCTCGAAAAGGCCCCCACCGGCCTTCCCGGGCCACTTTCCCTCACCGAGGCCTTGACTCACCTTTCACACTTGCTTCCTTTTTGGGGCCTCTTCTCTGATTTCAGTGACCAGGGTCTGGGGCTGCCTGAGTTCTCACAATGCCCCCGAGTAACTTGCCGGGGACTCCAGGCCTGTGGCTTCACCTCTTGGGGCTCCCCTGTCTCTCTGTAAATGGGTGCTTGGCCACCAGCCCCCAGCCTCCCTGCAGAGCGGAGAGCGCCCTCTCGGAGGCTGGCGTGGCCCGTGCGTCCAGCCGCCTTTCCTCGGCGCCCCGCTGTAGGAAGTACTACAAGTTCATCCTCACGCGGAACTTCGAGGCGCTCAACTCCAAGGGGGGCGGGAACCAGGTGTCGCTGCTCAACATCATGATGGACCTAAAGAAGTGCTGCAACCACCCCTACCTCTTCCCCGTGGCTGCCGTGGTAGGTACCTGTGGTTGCCATGGTAAGTGCCTGAAATCACCTTGGTAGGTCCTTGTGGCTGCTGTGGAAGGTTCCCCATGGCCATCGTGGTGAGTGTCCGTGGCTGCCATGGTGGCCCTGGCTGCTGTGGCAGGCGCTTGGGCCCTCAGCCCCCTGTCCTCCCTGGATATGAGGATCTGGAGGTGATGTGGGTCCCCATCATGCCAGAAGTTTCTGAAAACCTACCTCCATCCATCACTTGGGCAGGCCCTCTCCTTCCCTTGGCTCGCTCTTGTGACCCATACAGTAGTAGGGGACACTGGGTCACCCCAAGCTCTCCCCGAGGCCAGGGTTCTGAGGGCTGACCTGGCTACACTGTCCCCAAGGGAATCCGGAAGGCCGGGTTGGGGCCCCCAGGTGATTCTGATGCACAGCCCTGGGTGAGAGACTGGACCCTGGGTCAGACACCAGCTCCAGCCCTGTGGTCTCAGGGGAGTTAATGGTCCACTCTGAGCCTCAGTTTTTTACTATAAAATGGGAACAATGCAGCATCTACCTGGAAGGGTGAGGACCAGATGAGAAAGTGCACACAGTGCCCTCACAGAGAGCCTGGCACGTTGGTTTTCAGGAAATGTTAGCCATCATCATTGCTGCCGCTGCAATTCCAGTTCTAAAATAAACCCTCTACAGTTTACCACCCCCCCCCCCCAAACAAAAAGACCAATGCAGAATTAGGTGTGGGAGGCCGTGTGGCGGGTGATCCAGACTCAGGCAGCCCCAGATCGCTCTTATGACTGGCGCACGGAGGCCTGCTGACTGACATTCTGCCCGGGGCTCAGGGCTGGCCTTGCCTGGGTGCGCCCCGCTGGGACCGCAGAGACCAGGCCAGGTTCCTGCTGGGAAGGCTGGCTTAGCTTAAGACTCTTTGTCGCCCATCTGCTCATTGATGTCTCTGGTCTTGTGGAGTGCCAGCAGCGGGAAGACGGAGGGCAGGGCCGGCGAGTCTGAGCCCTGCCTGGGAATATGGTGCTGAGAGCAGGCCCATGTGACCCACAGGCTGGCCACTCTGTGGAGTCTGGCCTGACCTGGGCTTGGGCTTGGTGCTCAGCCTGTTGTTGGGCCCTTGTCCATCCCTGGGGCCTCTTTGGTGCAGAACCAGAGAGGAGACGGGAGCCCCCCAATGCCTCACCTTCTGCCATGTCTACAGGAGGCCCCTGTCTTGCCCAATGGCTCCTATGATGGTAGCTCCCTGGTCAAGTCTTCAGGGAAGCTCATGCTGCTGCAGAAGATGCTCAAGAAACTGCGGGACGAAGGGCATCGTGTGCTCATCTTCTCCCAGGTGAGCTACCCCCACGTGCCTGGCTGGCTGGTCTCCCTGCCTACCCCAGCCCCAACTCCACACCCCACAGAGGGTGTCCTGCCCCTGTAGCTGAGGGCGCAACCTGCTGGCCCCCCTCGGGGCCTGATGCTATTCCCATGGGTTGCACATCAAGGGTCATTCCTCTGTGCCATGGCATGATGCAGCCGAGGGAAGCTGGCCGGTGCCAAGCTCAGGGCATGTTGGCTATAAAGGCCAGCATCTTCCGTACCACCTGCCCCTCTGGCCTGCGCCTCCTGAAGCAGTTTGGGCCTTAGTGTCCAAGCTAGCACGTTAGCCCCCACCGCTCACCCCTGCAGCTTGGCTTCTCATGAAGGTGGGTCCTGGGTTTGGTTCAGGAGAGCTCGGTGCAGGGACAGCTCTAGGAGGCTCCCTCTCTAGCTTGGTCCTGAAGTCGCACTTGCAGCATCACTTTTCGGGCAGTCAGAGCAGGACTGTTCAGCCTGGGAGCTCCGTTCCTCTGAGCACTTGCTGCTCCTTCATCCATTTGTCTGCATCTGTCATATGGCAGGCTCTGTGTTAGGCACGGGGTCCAGCAGGATACTCACAGTCTAGTGTGACAGACAGGTAAAGAGATAATTATCTGATCAATGGAACAGAACTGAAAGCCCAGAAATAAAACCACGCATCTATGGACAGCTTATCTTTGACAAAGGAGCTGAGGGCATACAATGGAGAAAAGAAAATCTTTTCAACAAATGGTGCTGGGAAAACTGGAAAGCCACATGTAAAAGAATGAAAATTGACCATTCTTTTTTACCATTCACCAAAATAAACTCAAAATGGATCAAAGACCTAAAGGTGAGACCTGAAACCATAAGGCTTCTGGAAGAAAACGTAGGCAGTGCACTCTTTGACATCAGTATTAAAAGGATCTTTTCGGACACCATGCCTTCTCAGAGAAGGGAAACAATAGAAAGAATAAACAAATGGGACTTCATCAGATCAAAGAGCTTCTTCAAGGCAAATGAAAACAGGATTGAAACAAAAAAACAACCCACTAACTGGGAAAAAATATTTGCAAGTCATATATCTGGCAAAGGCTTAATATCCATAATATATAAAGAACTCTCGCAACTCAACAACAAAACATCCAACAACCCAATCAAAAAATGGGCTGGAGACATGAACAGACATTTCTCCAAAGAAGATATACTGATGGCCAATAGGCACATGAAAAGATGCTCATCATCGCTGATCATCAGGGAAATGGAAATCAAAACCACGCTAAGATATCACCTTACACCCATTAATTGACAAAAATATCTAAAACTAATAGCAACAAATGTTGGAGAGGTTGCGGAGAAAAAGGAACCATCATACACTGCTGGTGGGAATGCAAACTGGTGCAGCCACTATGGAAAACAATATGGAGATTCCTCAAAAAATTAAAAACAGAACTACCATACGATCCAGCCATCCCACTACTGGGTATTTATCCAAAGAGCTTGAAGTCAGCAATCCCAAAAGTCCTATGCACCCCAATGTTTATTGCAGCACTGTTTACAATAGCCAAGACGTGGAAGCAACCTAAGTGTCCAGCAACAGACGAATGGATAAAGAAGATGTGGTACATATATACAATGGAATACTACTCAGCTGCAAAACAGAACAAAATCATTCCATTTGCAATAACATGGATGGACCTTGAGATAATTATGTTAAGTGAAATAAGCCAGCGAGAGAAGGATAATCTGTGTATCACTCCACTCATATGAGGAATTTAAAATTATGGACTAAGAACAGTTTAGTGGATACCAGGGGAAAGGTGGGGTGGGGGGTGGGCACAAAGGGTGAAGTGGTGCACCTACAACACGACTGACAAACATTAATATACAACTGAAATTTCACAAGATTGTAACCTATCAATAACTCAATAAAAAAAAAAGAAAAAAAAAAGAGATAATTATCTGAGCCTGTGGTCAGCTCTGTGACAGGGGTCATAATGATGGCCTTATAGGGTCCTGGTGCTAAAAATGCTCCCTTATGTTGGGACCAAGCCAGGCCCATTGCTCAAAGCCAGAGACTAGGAGGTGGCTCCTCTGTGTACCAAAGTCAGCTGGAAACAGCTGTTGCTGCCTGTGGCTCCCGATCCCGCCCTGGGCCTGCAGGACGCTGAGGGATGTGAGGGAGGCTGACCACGCCTGTGAGTGCCGGCTGGCCTGGAGACTGGATCCACAGTCCCCTCGAGACCCCTGCCAACAGAAGACATGATTCTGGGCTGAGGCCTTGAGGGACCAGGTAGAGGGACCTGCACAACTCCTGGCAATGTGCACAGAGGAAAGTGACAGAGCCAGCACCCTGCCGTCCCAGATGAGCCCACATCCCAATCCCAAAACTCAGACAAAACTGAATGATAAGATATTCCACCAAACAGCAAGTAGAAGCCAAATGAAAAGAATGGTAGAAGAGCCTAGAAAAGAATTGAAATAAACATGTTTAGGATCCTCAAAAATAACGAAGTAATACCCATAAATCAAGAAGAAATCAATTAAACACAAGCAGGAAGAAATGAAACAAGAATAATTGGATAGGAAAATGATCTGCACGGAACTGAAATAAAACGTTTCAACAGATTGGATAAACTCTTGACACTGTTGAAGAAAGCATGGATGAATGGAAACCTGGCACTGAGGAATTTCCCCAGAGTGTGGCCTGGAGGGACAAGGACAGAAACGAGAGAGAGGGGCTGGCCTGGTGCGGCAGCGGTTAAGTGTGCATGTTCAGCTTTGGTGACCTGGGGTTCACCAGTTCAGATCCTGGGTGCAGACGTGGCATTGCTTGGCAAGCCATGCTGTGGCAGGCGTCCCACATATAAAGTGGAAGAAGAGGGCCATGGATGTTAGCTCAGGGCCAGTCTTCCTCAGCAAAAAGAGGAGGATTGGCAGCAGATGTTAGCTCAGGGCTAATCTTCCTCAAAAAAAAAAAGAAAGAAAAAGAACTGAGAGAGAGCATGGAGGACACCTCGAGAGGCTCCAACAGTCGTCTAACAGGACTTACAGAAGAAGACAGAGAGAAAATGGGGAAGAAGCTGGACTCAGTGAGAGTTTGCAGACCTGGCAAAGACATGAGGTCTCAGATCCGAAGTGCACTCTGAGTACCAAGCAAGGGAAATATAAGTAGGAATAAAGGAACCGCTCTGTAGACACATCGGAGGGGAATTGCAGCACTTCTGACCTGGCAGCCACAAAGGAGTGACAGTCAGCCTGTCCTCAGACTTCTCATCAGCGACAACAGGTGGCAGGTGACGATCACAACACCTTCAGTACACGGCGGGGCAAACGCTGATAGTTTTATATCCAGCTAAACTCTCTTGGGAATGAAGGGAAATACACAGGGTCAGGGATGCTCAGGAGGGCCTGCCTTTTCTTCTCATGGGGAGGAATGAGATCAGGGAAGGCGTCACAGAGGAGGTGCTGTCTGAGCTCCCGGGGCAGTGAAGGGGGTGGGCATTCCAGGAAGAAGGACTTGGGATGGCTGGGGGTGTGGAGGAAGCACTGGGAAGTGAAACCCACATGGACTGGGCACCAGGTCCTGTGAGCCTGGAGTGCCGGGCTGAGGGGCTGGGCCTTTGTTCTGGGATGTGAAAGCAGGGAGGCGCAGGCCCAGAGCTGTGTTTTAGACAGAAGGCTGTAGGGCTGGTGGCTGGTGTGGGGGTGGAGTGACTCCAGGGGTCGAGGTTGGAGGCTGTGTTCTTCTCCAGAAAGCCCGCGTCAGGTCTGCTGGGGCCCACGTGTCTCCCCGCTCAGCAGGCTGCTCGATCCTCCCCTGGCTGTTGTGGGGTGCCCTGCTCTGTGCCAGCCCCTCAGGAGGACCGTGTCCCCTGCAGATGACCAAGATGCTTGACCTCCTAGAGGATTTCCTGGAGTATGAGGGCTACAAGTATGAGCGGATTGACGGCGGCATCACCGGGGGCCTCCGGCAAGAGGCGATCGACAGATTCAATGGTACCCACACCTCACCCAGGGGTTCTTGATTGGGACCCCATGAAAGCCGAACAGTCTGTAGGTCCTAACAGCTGCCTCTTAGTTTAAAATGCTAGAACGAATTCATTCCATGGAACCTCCGGGGGCCTGCTGGGGTGCTAAGGGGCCCGGTGGGTAACACCTGTTTGGAACCGGGAAACAGACAAGGAGAAAGGCAAGGGGAGGAAAATATCACCTTTGTTACTACATGAAGCTGGTGCCGAGGGTCTGACTGGCACCTCTGGCTTCTCATACTGACACCAGACAAACTGCCAGTTCCAAGCAGTGCTGGACAGAGCCCAGCACGTACTCCCTGTGGGCTGCTTCCTAGAGGACAGAGCGAGGAAAGGCAGGGCCACACATGCCCACACTCGCCCAGACTCTCCCGTCTGCTCTCTTCCTGCCTGGGAAGGAGAGGTGACCGGGAGAAGCAGGAGCTCTCTGCCTGATAGTGAAGGAAGCATCTGGAGCCGGGTAGTGGTCAGCTGAACTGGGGTCCCTTTTGCAAACTGGCAGGTTTGCAGCAAGTAGCCATGAACTCTGATTCCCTGGGCTTGTGGCCGTTTCCTGGCTTCTGCCCTCAGAGCAGGGCTGGGGCCCCACTGCCCAAATGCCCAGAGCTGCGATTCATGTCGCCCACTCACGCCAGACATAAAGCGAGTAGAGTTTCAGGATCGAACATGGCCCCAGCCACACGTGAAGTGGGAGTGTCTGAAGCATCGGGCAGACGGGGGACCTGTTTGTAGCTCTGGTGGGGGTTGTGGTCAGATCCAGGTCACTTAGGGCCAGAACCAGTTGGGATTGCTGTGGGGCTGTGACCCTGAGGGCTCCCTGACAGCATCATGGGCTGGGGGGAGCTGGAGGGCACGAAGGACCAAGCTCTCCAGGGAGCTGACCCTCACTGGGGCCTCTGCCTGTACTTGCTGGCTGTTCGCAGTGTGGTCTTTGCCCATGTGGGCTTTGAAAATCGCCTTCTTTCTTATTCTGGCTCCCTCTTACTCCCTCCTGTTATATCAGGACTCAAAGCACAGCTGGCAACTAAGTGGGGCTCAGGTGGGCTGCTCTGTCCCACCCTGGGCCCCAGGCCTCCTCTGGCTTCCCTGAGCACAGGTGTGGCTGTCGTGGTCTGTGATAGAGCCACACTTCCCACCCCCCCTTCCCTCTGGTCTCCCCTCCCGCCCTCCTGTCTGCCGTCCACCTGGCCCCACCCATACCTGGGCTGCCCCTTAGCCGGCACTGGCCTCTCTTCCTCAGCCCCTGGGGCCCAGCAGTTCTGCTTCCTCCTCTCGACCCGGGCCGGTGGCCTGGGCATCAATCTGGCCACAGCAGACACCGTCATCATCTACGACTCGGACTGGAATCCACACAATGACATCCAGGTCTGTGGTCCTGACATTGGAACCTTCTCAGACCCCTCACTGCCCCTGGTTCCGTGGCCTTTCCCTCCTCTCCCCCATCCCCCAGACTGTGTGTCTCAGGGCTTCACCTCCCCCTGGGCCAGCCCCATGGAGTCTCAACCCCAAGCGGGGCCCTGGGAGATGAGTGGAGGCTTTGCCCTGCTCCTCCAGCTCCTCACTGTACGCAGGAGGAAACGGGCCCAGAGAGGGCAGGGGACCGCTAGTCCGTCCCATCACCCTCAGGACCAAGGCCATGGAGGGAGACAGGACGAAGGAGTCCTGGAACCCAGAGGGGGCCAGTATGAGAGGGGACAAGAATAGAGTGGGTGGAGAAGGGCTGTCAGAGGCAGGGGAGAGGAGGGGATGGAGGAGGGGGATAGGGTGATGAAGGGGTGGGAGGGTTGGGGGGAGCTAAGGGTTGTGGGAGCAGAGATACCCCAAAGTCCCCTGGTCACCCCACTTGGGGCAGGGACACATACACACATGTTGAACACTTACACTCTTAGGTGCACACACACAAACTCTTGTCTCAGGCACAGGTGTGTGCATCTGTGCACAGTCACCTGCACAGATCTAATCACATCAGCGTCACATTATGCAGGGATCCAGTGCACAGAGCCTCAGACATGTCTTCACATCATACTGGGCGCTTCTTGGCCTTGTTGCCCTTGCAAGGTGGCTGTGTGTCACCAACACATGGACTTGCCATCCCATTAGCGGCTCACTTCCAGGGAGGTGCAGCCCCTGTCTCCCCATGACCACCATCTGAGCCCCCGTGCAGCTTCATTGCATCCAGCGCTCTGGCCGCCTGCACCGTGCACACACCCCTGCACACTTGCAGTCACGCCGAGTTCCACCTGCACAGGCATCCAGGCCTGCGTGAGACTCCACAGTCAGGAAGCCGTCGTAGCTACCCTGGGACACACACAATACCCGGCGCGCACACATCTCCACGCACAGTCACGTCGCTGGGTCGACGTAGGACATGCTCATGAGCACACGTCCACCCCCCATGGTGCCCTGGGTGGAGCCTGGGGTGCTGAGCTGCAGCTTGCCCCCAGGCCTTCAGCCGCGCCCACCGCATTGGGCAGAACAAGAAGGTGATGATCTACCGCTTTGTGACGCGGGCGTCGGTGGAGGAGCGCATCACGCAGGTGGCCAAGCGCAAGATGATGCTCACCCACCTGGTGGTGCGGCCCGGCCTCGGCTCCAAGTCGGGCTCCATGACCAAGCAGGAGTTGGACGACATCCTCAAGTTCGGCACAGAGGAGCTCTTCAAGGACGATGTGGAGGGTGAGTGTCCAGGGCGGCCGGAGCTTGGGGTGGGGGCTGCACAGGCACAGCTCCTCTCTCTGCACCCCAATTTTGTCTCCTGGCCAGGGTGGAGAGGGCCCCGGGTGGCCTCTCTGGGTGCAGCCCTGCATCCCCTCCGCCTCTGTCCTACAGGCATGATGTCTCAGGGTCAGAGGCCTGTCACACCCATCCCTGATGTCCAGCCCTCCAAAGGGGGAGCCCTGGCTGCCAGCGCGAAGAAAAAGCATGGCAGCACCCCACCAGGTAGGGGCCAGCCCAGCCCCCAGCCCCTCCTGTGCCTCAGGTGGTGTTCCTGGAAAGGGAGTGGCGCCCAATCCTGCTACACCTGGTCTCTGTTTTGTCGGGTTCCCCTGCCTGTGCCCTCTAGCCCCATACTTGGGTGCCCAAGGACTGCTGGGAGTGGGCAGTGGGAGTGTTACAGTGTACATTCCGCTCTCTGGTCACCACGCTCCTCTGCTGTAGCCCCTGCTGGGGACTGGAACAGATCATGGTCAGGAGTCTGCCCTGGTGGGGGCCCCTGGCTGGACCTGGGCACCCGTCTGTCTCCCCACTCTGCACTCTGTCTGCCTCCAGGTGACAACAAGGACGTGGAGGACAGCAGTGTGATCCACTATGATGATGCAGCCATCTCCAAGCTGCTGGACCGGAACCAGGATGCCACAGATGACACGGAGCTGCAGAACATGAACGAGTACCTGAGCTCCTTCAAGGTGGCGCAGTACGTGGTGCGCGAGGAGGACGGCGTGGTAAGCCCGCCCCTGCCATGGCCGGGCTGTCGGGCGGGAGATGGGACAGCGTGCGCGACAGCCGCGTGGCAGGGCCACTGCCCTTGCTCACATCCTCAGCGGCAGCCTGCTTGGTGTCCCTGGCTCCAGTCTAGCTTCCCCACAGCTGCCCAACGGACCTGTGGACGGCCTTGCCATCCCCCTGCGTAGAGCCCTGTCTAGGGTCTGGCGTTCAGGCCCCTCCCAGCCCTGCCCGGTGCCGCTCCCACTCCCTGCCTGGGTGCCTGCGGCAGGCACCCCTGGGCCACCCCCTCTTCCGGAAAGCGCTGAGCTCCCACCCACTGCACCTTCTCTTCACCACCCAGCAAACTCCACTGTCCTCAAAGGGCCAGCTCCTGGGTCTCTCCCAGGTGGTCCCCTCTGTTCCTCCTCGGCTCCCACCACCCTCCACGCAGACCCTGGGTACTATTATCCTTCCACGTGCCAGTTTTCCTTTTGAAATTGGGGGCCTCCTGAGGGCAGACGTAGAGCTTATTCAACTCTGTACCCCAGTGCCTGGCCCAGGCCAGGAAATCCTTGCGGAGTCAATGAGTGAGTGAGTGACTGGACAGGGGCAGGAAGCGGGAGGCCGGCTGTGGGGCCAGGTGGTCAGGGAAGGCTTCCTGCAGCGGGTGGGCTTTCCGATTCATCGTTGGGCCCCTAGAAGGTGAGGTGTGGTGGAGGTGGCATGAGGCCTCCCGGGGGCAGATACCCTATCTACTGGCCCTGCACCACCGAGGCCTCTGGTGCCCGTGTGTGCTGGCCGCCTGCCTGCTAGCCCCGGCCTCACTGGGCCCCTGGCGCCTGGGTCCCCAGGAGGAGGTCGAGCGAGAGATCATCAAGCAGGAGGAGAATGTGGACCCTGACTACTGGGAGAAGCTGCTCCGGCACCACTATGAGCAGCAGCAGGAGGACCTGGCCCGCAACCTGGGCAAGGGCAAGCGCATCCGCAAGCAGGTCAACTACAATGACGCCTCCCAGGAGGACCAGGGTGCGTGCCCGGCCTGGGCGGGTGGGTGCACGTGCCCCGGAGGCGGAGGGCCTGGGTGGACAGGATTCCAGTAGGTCGCAGAGGGCGTCCCTGTGGCAGGAAGCCCCCGGGGGCTGGAGAGTGGGAGCTTTGTCAGAGCGGCCTGAGCTGGGGTGCCATGGGGAGGGCTTCTTGGAGAAAGGAGGCTTGAGGGCAGGTGTGGGGTGTGGGGTGTTTAGGAAAACAAGATGGGTAGTGGTCCAGTGACTTCACCGCTAGTGGTGTGGGCAAGCCTGGGTTTCCCCATTTGTAAAAGGTGGATGACAATGGTATAGCACCCTAGGAAATCATGTAGGGCTGTTGGGATTATTAAGTGAGGTCACAGGAAGTATGTGGTGGCCGTTTTCTGTTTACTGTTGTTATTGGGCTGGGATGTGGGGGCTTGGCATGGCCCTGGGTCTGGGGGTCTTGGGGTGGGCTTCTGTTTGCACAGCTCACTCTGTGCCCCTCTGCTGGACCCCCACAGAGTGGCAGGATGAGCTCTCGGACAACCAGTCTGAATATTCCATCGGCTCTGAGGATGAGGATGAGGACTTTGAGGAAAGGCCGGAAGGACAGAGTGAGTCTCGGTGCTGGTGAGCCTGGGCTGGGGCCAAGGCCGTGTGTCCAGGAGCTGATGGCCAACCGGGGGTCCCCCTGGGGGTGTCAGGACAGGCTCGAGGGCAGCTTCAGAGGTCATCCTGAAGGGTCCTGCTGTCCTGGGGCGAGCTGGCAGATGGGTTAGGGGGTCAGGATGCCCCGGGCCCCCCTGAGAGGTTGTGGCGGGGCTGCCCCCCAGGTGGACGGCGACAATCCAGGAGGCAGTTGAAGAGCGACAGGGACAAGCCCCTGCCACCTCTCCTCGCCCGTGTCGGCGGCAACATCGAGGTGGGGCCCTCCTGCACCCCCACTTTCCCAGCTCCCCTTCTCCCGATTTACCTTGTCCCTTCTCCGAACAAAGAGCTCACCCTGCTACCACCCCTGGGCACAGAGGAGGGCTGGAGGCGAGGGCTGGGACTTGCCCAGGGTCTCACGTCAAGTAGAGGTGAGGCTGGGACAGACCCTGGGTCTGGGCTCCGCCCTCTGGTCCTGCCCCAGCTGGAGGCCCTGTCTTCTCCCAGTCCCCTCCCTGCCTCCTCCCCTCGCCATCCCCTTCTCCCCTCCCTGAGCTCTCTGCTCCACCACCCCATCCCCTGCCCCATCCAGGTGCTGGGCTTCAACGCCCGACAGCGGAAGGCCTTTCTCAATGCCATCATGCGCTGGGGCATGCCCCCCCAGGACGCCTTCAACTCCCACTGGCTGGTTCGCGACCTTCGAGGGAAGAGCGAGAAGGAATTTAGGTAAAGGGGCTGAGGTGGTGGCCCAGGGTGTGGCTGCCCACTCTGGAGACGGCAGACTCCGGCTGGGCCAGCCAGCACAACTGGCCGCGTTTCTGCTCGCGCCAGGCCAAAGAGGTCTTGAGAGATCACTACTCTCTGGTCTTTGGGTAGCTGGGGTCCAGGCCTGGGCAGGGCTGATGTGCAGAAAACACTGAGCAGCCACCTCTGCCGGACCAGCTGGTGTGAATGGCAGCCGGAAGCATCTGGGTTATCCAGAGCGGGGCTGTCCTAAGTGGTTCCCCTGCCAGGGGAGGCCTCCTCTGTCCTTCCCCGGGCGTCTGACCCAGCAAGCCTGGTTGGGAGGCAGGTGATGGATGATGATTCCAGCCAGGAGATCCCCTGGGGATCCTGTTAGCCCTCGCAGAGGGTTCTTGCCACCCCCCGTTCCCTGAGCCCCAGTCCCCCCCAACCCCAGAGCCTATGTGTCCCTCTTCATGCGGCACCTGTGTGAGCCGGGGGCTGACGGCGCAGAGACCTTCGCGGACGGCGTGCCCCGCGAGGGCCTCTCGAGACAGCATGTGCTCACGCGCATCGGGGTCATGTCACTAGTTAGGAAGAAGGTGGGTGAGTAAGCCTTTACTGGGCCCTTCTTGGTGGCTGCAGTACACCCGGCGTACCCCTGGGGGGTCACTGGGCAACGGGCAAGTGCCTGGCTCAGGGTCACACAGCTACCCAGGGTCTGAGCCAGGCCAGAGGGACCAACCCAGAATGCCTCTCTGGGTGGGGGGTGGGGGTCTGGTGGCCAGGATGGCAGGTCACAGGCAGAGGGCACACAGGGAAACTGGGCTCGGGGCGGGGCCTGCCATGGGGTTTTGTTGTCAGAAGTGCATCTGGCTTGGCCGGCCTCAGGTGGAGGGGGTGTCTGTCCCCAGCTGGACGCCCCCAGTCCTAAGGCTGTCCTGAGGCCCATAGATCTGAGCTGCGACTGCCCCCTCCTTCCCTTCCACCTGCCCCAGGTCCAGGAGTTCGAGCATGTCAACGGGAAGTACAGCACCCCAGACTTGATCCCTGAGGGGCCCGAGGGCAAGAAGCCCAGCGAGGTCGTCTCCTCGGATCCCACCACGCCAGTGCCCGCCAGCCCCGCCCACCTGCCACCTGCCTCGCTGGGCCTGCCAGGTCTGGGCTCCGATGAGTGGGGGAGGGCACCTGGGTCCCGGGAGATGGCAAGGCCCCAGGAGACCCTGAGTCCTCCGCACACCCCACAAAGGATGGCCACACTTCCCCTCGAAGCTTCTGCCTGCATAAGTGTTGCTCTCCTGAGAGTTCTTCTCTTTAATGACAGCTCTGAGATGTGATTCCCGTAACAGAACATTTAGTCTTTAAAAGTGTACTATTCAGCCGTTTCTGGTATATATGTTACCATCACCTCTATCTAATTCCAGAACATTTTCATCACACCAAAAAGAAACACGTACCCATCAGCAGTCGTTTCCCATCCCTTCTCTCCCTGGCCTGCCCCCAGCCCCTGCCAACTGCTTAGCTACTTTCTGTCTCTGTGGATTCGCCTGTTCTGGACATTTCATGTAAACAAAATCCTACAATATGTGGCCTTTTGTGTCTGGCTTCTTTCAGTCAGCGTGATGTTTTCAAGGTTGATCCATGTTGTAGTGTGAGTCAGAGCTTGCTTCCTTTTTGTGGCTGAATAATATTCCATTGTGCGGATCCACCACATATTGTTTATCCGTTCATCAGCCGATGGATTTGGGGTTGTTTCTGCTTTCTGGCTGTTGTGAATAATGCTGCTGCGAACATTTGTATTTGAGTCTTTATATGGACATGTGTTTTCATTTCTCTCGGGTATGAGCTAGGAATGGAATTGCTGGATCATATGCTGTAATATTTTGAGGAACTGCCCAACTCGTTTTTACAGGGACCAGAGCATTTTCCATTCTCGCCAACAGTGAATGAAGGGCCCAGTTTCTCCACATCCTCACCAACGCTTGCTGTCTGACTTTTTGCTTAAAGCCGTCTAGTGGGTGTGAGGTGGCGTCTCATTGTGGTTTTGGTTTGCATTTCCTTGATGTCTGACGACGTTGAGAATCTTTTCATGTGCTTCTGGACCATTTGTGTATCTTCTTTGGAGGAATGTCTTTTCAGAGCCTTTGCCCATCTTTAGCTGGGTTGTTTGTCTCTGAGTGTCTTTGATCCGTGGATTTATCTGGACAAAGCGTCTTCTTTCAGTTGACCCTGTCAGGCCTGGGGCCGACCTACCTCTCCCCAGGTGACAGGTGAGGCCCTGAGGCTAGGTGCCTCGGAGGACATCTTGCTTCCAGGCACAAGCATACCCTCTTGAGCTAGACTCGCCTGGCCCTGAGTGACCTTGGGCAAGTCGCTCACCCCCATGAGCCCTGTTTTCTCCTCTGTGATGTGGGATGGAATAGTGTCCACCTCCCAGGGCTACTCAGAGCACACATGTCACCAGCACTTTGCGGTGTGTCAGGAACTGCCTTGGCGTGAGGAGGCACACGGCCAGTCAGCCTGAGAGCCGGGACCAGGCCGAGGCATCCTGGCTCCTAGTCCAGGCCTCCCCCACCTCCCCTCCCTGCTTCCAGATGGGAGGCTGTGCTGTGGGCAGCCCTGTTCTGTCAGCCCCTGACTGGCCTCACTGGGCCCACAGTCCTCCAAGGATCCCCATGTTGCAGCCCTGACCTGGGCTCCCTGGCTCGTCTGGGGTCCTGTCCTTCTGAAGGGGCCTGGCCTGGAGGGAGCCTCCTGAAGGCCAGGCCCTGCCTTTCCTCTCTGGCACCTTACTTCCTGCCCTTTCCACCTCCCCGCCAGAGCCCACCTGTCTCACCTCTTTCCCTTGATCTTTCAGACAAAATGGAAGCCCAGCTGGGCTACATGGATGAGAAGGAGCCAGGGGTACAGAAGCCAAAGAAGCCTCCAGAAATCCAGGTACGGAAGATGCTGATGTCAGGGTCCCTGGGGCTGTGGGGTGGGGGTTGGGTCTGGGGACCTGCTCAGGCTTTGCCCAGGCCTCCTGGCTCCCAGTTCAGGCCTCTGGGTCTAGGGGAGCAGGCTGGGAGCAGGCACGGGGGCCAGGAGAGTGGGTTCCCGGCCCAGCGCCTGTTCCCCGCCCTCCGTGTTGAGGCCCCAGGCCCCACAGCTCCCCTCCTCTGTTCTCCCTAGGCCCTCCCAACTGCCCTGGACAGAGTGGAGGGCGAGGACAAGCAGGAGAGCTCAGACGGGAAGGAGAGAGCCCAAGAGGAGCCACTGGAGGAGACAGAGAAGGCCCAGCTCTCCCCGGAGCAGCTGCCGAAAGGTGCGGGCTTCCTCGTCACCCTGCGATGCGGCGTCTGGCCCAGCAGCCCCGGGCGGGCGGCGGGAGGGCAGACTGCTGTACCCCGCTTCTCCCTGGCTGAGTGGTGGCCTGTGCGTTGCTCTGTCCCAGCGCGATAGGCCCCGGGGTGAGGGGAGAGCCAGGGGCTCAGGTCTCCCCTCTGAGCTCTGACTTTCCCTGCCACTCGCAGTCTGGAGGTTATTGAGCTATCTTTTTATTAGTCATTTCTAATATTAGAATAAGTTAGTGCTTTCTAATTGCAGTTGCATTGTGGTCTGAACACATGAGGCTGTGTGATATTGCTTCTGTGTGGTATCGTTAAAACCTGCTTTCTGGGTTAGTATGGTCAGATTTTGTAAATGCTCTTGAATGCTTGAAGAGAATATCTATTCTCTAATTGCTGGGCATAAGATTCTAAATATATGCGTTAGATTATTCGATATTCTTGTTAATCATGTTGTTAAAATCTTATATCCTCACTCATTTTTGGTTTGCTTTGATCAGTCAGGTCTGAGAGACTTATGTTTAAATCTCTCACTGTGATTGTGGATTCGTCTCTTTCTCCTTCTAAGGCCAGATTTTGCTTCATATTGTTTGAGACTGGTTGTTAGGGGCATACTGGTTCGAGTTTTTTATATTTTTCTGATGAAGTGTGCCTCTAATTACTGTGTAATAACCCTCTTATCCCTCCTGATACTCTTAGCTTTAAAGTTTCTGTGGGCTGATTTGGATCAATCTTACTTTTGTTTAGTATATATTCAGTATATCTTTTTCTATCCCTTAAACCTTAAGAGAAATGTATATATGTAAAACAACTTTGTGATGTAATTCACATACCGTACACTTCTTCCACTTAACGTGTACAATTCAGTGATTCTTAGTATATTCATGGAGCTGTGCAGCCGTCAGCACAAGTAATTTTACAACATGTCATCATTCCCAAAGAAACCTATTAGCAGTACTCTCCATTCCTCTCCTCTTAACCCTCAACAATTGCTAGTCCACTTTCTGTTTCTATGGATTTACCTGTTCTGGACATTTCATGTAAACAGAATCATTAAGTATATGCCTTTTTGTGACTGCCTGCTTTCCCTTAGCTTAATGTTTCCAAGGCTCGTCCGTGTTGTAGCATGGATCAGAACTTCATTCCTTTTTATGGCTGAATAATGTTCTATTGTGTGGATAGAATTTTGTTTATCTGTTCCTCAGTTGATGGACAGTTGGGCTGTTTCTAATTTCGAGCTTTTGTGAATAGTGCTGCTGTGAACATTTGTGTTCAAGTTTTTGTGTGGACATAGGTTTCAGTTCTCTTGGGTGTGTACCCAGGAGTGGAATTGTTGGACCGTATGGTGATTCTATGGTTAATACTTTGAGGAACTGTCAGGTGGTTTTCTGCAGTGGCTGTACCATTTTCCATCCCCACCAGGAAGGTATGAGGGTTCCAATTTCACCATATCCTTGCCAACACTTGTTATTGTCTGTCCTTTGATTGTAGTCATCCTAGTAGGTGAGAAGTGGTATCTTAAGTGGTTTTGATTTGTATTTCTCTTCTGCATGAACATGTTGAGTATCTTTTCATGTGCTTATTGGCCATTTGTATATCTTTGTTGGATAAATGTCTATTCAGATCCTTTACCCATTTTTTAATTGGGTTATTTGTATTTTTATTCTTGAGTTGTATGATTCCTTTATGGATACATATTCCTTATCAGATATGTGATTTGTGAGTACTTTCTTTCATTCCTTTACTTTTAATCTATGTAATTACGTTTTAGGTATATCCCTTGTAAACAGTGTATAGTAGGAATTTGTTTTAAATCTAATCATGGAATCTCTATCTTTTAGCTGACAAGTTTAATCTCTTTACATTTATTGTAGTAGCTAGGTGTTTGGATGAATTTCTACTCTCTTATTTTGTGCTTTAGATTACCCTTGCTTTGTTTTTTCTTTTTTCTCCTTTCCTGCATCTCTAGGATTGATCAAATTTTCTTTATATTTCCTTTTTTCTCTTCAACTCCTTTGGAGAGTTTATAGTCAACTCTGTTTCGTACTCTTAAATTTGTGGCATGTGTCCCTCCTGAACGCTGTAAGGGCTGCAGACAACTTTAGCTCTAACCCACTCCCTTTCCATCTTCTGGGTGCTGTTGCCCAGTGTTTTAGTTTCAGCTTGTTTTAATTCTCTGGATTAGTTATTATGCTTATTTCTCAATCTTGGTCCTTATTTAGGACTTCCCACATTCTTGGCAGTCTCATATTTGTTTATCTGTGGGTCGTTGCTTCGTTCAATGTCCTTCTTCCTGAAGTGCACCCTAGAGTGGTGCTTTTGGCAAATTCTCTCATTATGTTACTTTTTCTTTACTCTTGAATAATAGCAAAATTCAAGGTGGGATGGGGATTTTCCCTCAGCACTTTGAAGATGTTATTCCTTTTATCGTCTGGCTTCCATTTGCTGCTGAGAAAGACTACTCTCAGGGTAATTGTTGCTTCTTTGTAGGAAATCTGCCTTTTCTGTCTTTTCTAACATTGAAAGACCACTTTTAAGATATTGTTTGTCTTTAGTCATGTGCGGTTTCACTACAATGAAGTTTTTATTTATCTTGCTTGTGACTGACTGTTCTTCTTAAAGCTGAATATTATGTCTTACATCAACTATGGGCAAATTCTCAGTGATTCCCTCTTTGAAAATTGTCTTTGCCCCCATTATATTTATTTTCTCCTGGTATTCGTATTATTTATCGATTCATTCATTCATCCAACAAATATGTATTGAAGGCCTGCTGTGTGTTGGGTGCCGTCCTAGGCACTGGGGACATGAGCAGTGAACCGAAATAGCAAAGCCTTCCCTGCCATTTGTATTCTAGTGGGGGAGACAGGCGATCAGCAATAAACAGACATACGTCTTGTTCAACAACAGGCTCCAAATGCAATGAGGAAAAGAAAGCCCAGTACGAGGTTCGCAAAAGATGGGGGTTGACGCGTCTTTCACATCATTTCCTTCCAGCTTGTTTCCCATCTCTCTGTAAGGCTGTTTGAGTCATCCTCAGGTCTCCCTTCAGGCTCTGCTTTCTTTATACAGCTGTTTTTAACCTACCCATTTGTATTATTTCCTATGTCTGCAAAACAAATTATTAGAAATTTAGCCACATAAACAACACCCGTTTATTAGCTCTCAATTCTGTGGTCAGAGTCTGGCCTAGCGGGGCTGGGTTCTCTGCAGAGGGTCTCGCAAGACCGAAATCAAGGTTTGGCTGGGCCAAGTTCTCGTTTTGAGGCTTGAGGGAAACATCTGCTTCCAAGCCCGTTCTTGATGGCTGACTTCAGCTTCTTGGGGTTGGCGGGCTGAAGGTTCCAGTTCCTTGCTGGTTGTCAGCCGGGGTCTGTTCTCAGCACCTAGAAGCCATGTGTGTTCCTTCCCACAGGGCCCACTCCATCTTCAAGCTAGCAATGGTGCCCTGGATCCCCCTCATGCCTCGAATCTCTGCCATCCTTTTCTGTGACCAGTCCGAGGTGTGATGAGGTCAGGCCCACCCAGATAATCTCCCTCGTTTACAATCACCTGTGTCTCATCTCATGACTCACAGGAGTAGAATCCATCACATCCACAGTCCCGAGGACTATGCAAGGCTTGTACTCCAGGGCCGGGAAGTCTTGGCGACATCTTAGAAATCTGCAATGGAAATGTTTAAAGTGTTAATGATTGTGTATTTCATTTCTAGAAGTTTTATCTGGCTTTTTCTAATTTTTGTTTTTTTTGGACTCGCCTTTTCTTATGGTTTCTCTTCCTTCTTTTTTCTGTCTCTCTGGTGGATGGATAATTGTTTTCTAAGTTTTGGTTGGGTGCATTTTCATCAGGGATTGTTTGGTCCATGGGAATCCCATGTCACCTGGGTAGTGGGAATGTCCCCCTCTGTTTCCAGAAGCCCAGGGCCCAGTGCTGAGACTGTGCCTTGAGAGTTGGGGGGGAGGGCTGCTGCTGGGATGGGGATGAGAGGGGATGGGTAAGCCTATGGGTGGGTTCCAGGAGGTCTATGCCCCCGAACTGCCTCCCCAGAGGAGCTGTCCTTGGTGGCACTTGTTGCACTCCTGACTAAAATGGTGGATAGAGTTCTGTGCGTGGCAGAAACAGAGTTGGAAAGCCACCAGCCCAGAGTCCCCTCTGCCCTTCCTGGACTCCTCCCCACTCCTGGACACCCTTTGTCTTACAGAAGAAGTACTTCCTGAGAAGGAGAAAATTCTGGACAAGCTGGAACTAAGCTTGATTCACAGCAGAGGGGATGGCAGCGATTTCAGGCCAGGTTTGGGGCTCTTGTGTGTGCTCTGTCCTGTGTCCCCTGGTCTCTTGCGGGCACTGTCTGGACTCTGTTGGGCCTCCTGTGGCCTCCTAGCCACAGTCCTCTGGGTCCCTGGCCCTGATTGGAGCTAGTGGGTGGGAGCCGGGACTCGCCAGCCCCTCGCAGCCTTATGCCTCCCCACCCCACCTCCTGACCCCTCCTGTGGCCCCAGCCACCAGTAGAAGGAAGGAGAGCTGGTCTGGGAGCTCGGCCTGGAGAATTTGGGGCTCAGATAGAACCTTTGTGTACCTCTGTTGCTGGAATGTTCTGGAACAGTCATCCTCAGAGCAGACCCCTAAGGCAGTGCTGCGTCCTTGAACATAAGCTGCACTTTTCACAGTGCTCTCCTGCTGTTCTGGGTGGTCCTGGCTTGGTGGGGGAGGGGTACTCGGGCCTGGAGCCAGCCTCCCTGCTCAGGACGGAGAGAGGGAGCTGCCGGCTTGTCCATCTCAAATCCCTCCGGGCTGGGAGCCCCTTGAGGGTGGGGAAATGCGTTTTCCTGCTTGCCTTTGGGTGCCCAGCCCTTGGCAGAGAGAGGCCCCTGGGCAGTGGCTTTTGGATGGATGGATGAATGTGGGTCTGTCCTCCCACAGATGACTCCAAAGCGGAAGAGAAGGAGCCCATTGAAACACAGCAAAATGGTGACAAAGAGGAAGATGAGGAGGGGAAGAAGGAGGACAAGAATGGGAAGTTCAAGTTCATGTTCAACATTGCAGATGGGGGCTTCACAGGTATTGGGGTGGGGCAGTGGGCAGGGAGCCGGGGCTTTTTGTGTCATAGCCTGCCTGACTGTGGATCCCAGGAGTCTGGGCAGATGGTTCTTTTATACTGAAGTGTGAGTGGTTGATAAAAGTCCATAGCATAACCTTTCCTAGAACGCTGGAACACTGAGGGAGAGGCTTTTCTGGGCCCACCTCTGTGTGAGGGACCGGGGGGCACCTCTCATTCTGTTCCCCTTGGCTGGCTTCTCAGAGCTGCACACACTGTGGCAGAATGAGGAACGTGCCGCTGTGTCCTCGGGGAAAATCTATGACATCTGGCACCGGCGCCATGACTACTGGCTGCTCGCGGGCATCGTGACGTATCCTTGTCCGCGCCAGGCCGGGCAGGACCCAGGCCTGTTCCTGTGTGGACCTCAGGGAGGGACGTGGGCATGTGGCGTGAGGAGTCAGGAGCCAGCGCCCCTGACCAGGCACCAGAGACCTTTTCCTGGTGATGATGATGACGTGACGATGACGATGATGATGACCACAGCAGCAGCTTGTCCCTTTAGGCTCAGTCCTCTCTTCATCCTCAGAGCAGCCTTCCAATAGGGGCACTCATATGATCTCCATTATACAGAGGAGGAAACTGATGCTCAGAGAGGCCCAGTGACTTGCCCAGGGACACACAGCTAATAAATCACAGCCCATCTATCTCACTCTACAACAAACCAACAAATGCTCCTAACTCCTACATGATCCCGAGTGCACCTCCTCCCAGGAATGATGCCTGAAGGGCGCTTCACCATTTACGAAGCGCTTTCATTCAGTCAGTCCGTCTTTACTGATGACCTACCATGTGTCAGGAATGGAGGATGCAGCCAGGAACAAAACAGCCCCCAATTCCCGTCCACCTGGAGGTGGCATCCTCCTGGGGGTAGACGGTGAATACCGTGAGTTAGGGAGGTGTGGGGTTCAACGGAATGTGGTAAAGCAGGCGAGGGTGAGGGGAGGTTTGGCGTGGGGGTTGCATTTTCCAGTGGGATGGTCAGAGAAGGGGACATTCGAGCACAGACCTCCCAGAGGCAAGGAGAGAGGCACACAGCCCCCTGGGGAGGGCCCCCGGCAGAGCTGGCCTTCATGACAGCCTTGAGTGGGGCTGGTTCTTAGACCAGGGGGTGGAGTGTTGTAGAACAGGGCTTGGCAAGCCTTTCCTGGAAGGGACCAGAGAGCAAATGTTTCAGGCTTTGCAGAGTGACTGCTCTGCTCTGCCACTGGAGCAAAAAATAGCCACGGGCAATACGTAAACCAGTGAGCGTGGCCGTGTTCCAATAAAACTTTATTTACAAAGCAGGCTGTGGGCTGGATTTGGCCCGTGGGCTGTGGTTTGCTGATCCCTGTTGTGGAGGTTAAGGTGTTCGGCGCCAGACTGCCTGGGTTCACAGCCCGGCTCTGCCCCTCACTCAGGCGGGGCCTTGGGCGAGAGGACTTTACTGAGTCTCCTTGTTCCCTCTGGAGACCCTGGGGGAGGACCCTTCCATGCCTCTGCCAGCTTCGGCGGTGGCCGTCATGCTTGGCGTTCTTGGCTTGCAGCCGCCACATCCCTGCAGTCATTGTCCCTGTCGTCACATCACCGTCTTCCCTGGATGTCTCTGTGTCTGTTTGCAGATTCCCTCTTCTTATAAGGATGTTAGTCTTTGGATTAGTGCCCATCCTAACCCAGTATGACCCCTTCTTAACTCGATTATATCTGCAAAGACCCTATTTCCAAATAAGGTCACAGTCACAGGTACAGGGGTTAGGTCTTGAACATTTCCCCTGCCTGGGTTGTTGGGATGAAGGAGTTAACATGGTGAAGCCTCAGTGCCATGTCTGGGTCCCCGAGGGCACCTGTCAGTGTCTGCTGATTGTCACATCATCGTCATCAACATGCTCATCTTGCCCCCAAAGTTAATGACTTGCCCAAGAGCACACAGGCAGGACTCCGAACCCTGGGCTGGTCCCTCCGCCTCCTGCCCCCTGGCCAGGTTTGCCCTTAACGGTGCCGCACCCAGGCACGGCTACGCCCGCTGGCAGGACATCCAGAACGACCCCAGATACATGATCCTCAACGAGCCCTTCAAGTCTGAGATCCACAAGGGCAACTACCTGGAGATGAAGAACAAGTTCCTGGCCCGCAGGTTCAAGGTCGGTCCTTGGCAGGGCCTGAGGCTGTGGGGAGGGGGCTGCAAGAGGGGCAGGTTACACGAGGGCCTGGGGCGAAGGAGTTAGCGAGCAGCCATCCCCTCCTCTTACATCTGGACTTACACCTGGCTGTCCACGAAAGGGAGTGCTTTAGTCAATCAAGTAACAGGGTGCTGGATCCTTCCTCTGTGCCAGGCCCATTGGGCAAGTGTCTCTGCCCTGGGTGATGGGCGCAGAGAACCCAACTTGGTGAGGGCTCCAAGGGGTAGCGGAGATCAGAAGAGGATGGAACGCTGCATAGGAATGTGTCCTCCCTCCCTCCTTTCTGCCAGAGCCCTGGCCCGGGTGGGTGGGTGCTGATGGAGGAGGGGGCCAGGCCAACACTCAGTCCTCCTGCCCGCCAGCTGCTGGAGCAGGCGCTGGTCATCGAGGAGCAACTCCGGAGGGCTGCGTACCTCAACATGACCCAGGATCCCAACCACCCAGCCATGGCCCTCAACGCCCGCCTGGCCGAGGTGGAGTGCCTTGCTGAGAGCCACCAGCACCTGTCTAAGGAGTCCCTTGCCGGGAACAAGCCTGCCAACGCCGTCCTGCACAAGGGTGAGCGAGTCCCTCCTGGCAGCCGGCTCAGCGCCCTCCTCCTGCCCAGTGGATCCTCGGCCGTAGATGAGGGCTCTGAGCGGGGCCGGGGCTGGGGACAGAACGTCAGCCCAGAGGGCGTACCTCCTGGCCAGGATGGCACAGTCTGTTTCCCAGTCCCTTAAGCCCTGACAATATCCTTTAAATATGTTGTATCTTTAATTCTTGCAATATCTGTAAGTGGTGAGGTTTATTATCCCATTTTAAAGATGGGGACATTGAAGCTCAGGGAGGTGAAGTAATTGCCCAAGATCTCCTGGATTCAGACCTTTGACCCTTGTGCTCCAAATCTTCAGGAAGCTCCCAAGCTGGCTGGGGGGATGGGGTGAGCCAAGGCCAAGCTCACACGAGAGTCCCTGGCCTCGCCGGCCCCTGCTCTGTCTGGGAGATGTTTCCTGAGGCGGCTCTGCCTGTGAGCCTCCCGCCCTGTCCCCCGCGGTGGGCCAGGGCTGCAGGCCTTCCTGGGAGCCGGGAGGCTGACTCGGGGCCTGGGGGGAAGCCCAGGGTTGGGTCAGTTTCCGGCTCTCGTCTCTGCAGCCCTCGGGCCCCAGGGAGAAGCTCTTTGGAAAACCCCGTTCTTCTCCCAGTTGGCATCTCTTGGCTGTGCGGGTCTGGGGGGCCGGGTGAGGAGCACCCCCTGGTGTCTGCTGTCCTGGGAGTGCAGTAACACCCCCTTGCAAATAAGCAGCAGCCTGGGCTGCCTGCCTTGCACTCCTCTCGCCTCCCACCTCCTGCCCGCAGTCCTGAACCAGCTGGAGGAGCTGCTGAGCGACATGAAGGCTGATGTGACTCGCCTGCCCTCCATGCTGTCCCGCATCCCCCCAGTGGCTGCCCGCCTCCAGATGTCGGAGCGCAGCATCCTGAGCCGCCTGACCAACCGAGCTGGTGACCCCACCATCCAGCAGGTCAGGTTCGGCCGCATGCCCCGGGCCCACGTCCCACTCACGCACATCCTGGGCGCCTTTGGCTTGGGGGTGCACGACTGTGACCTTTAAACCTGAGTCCTTGCCTCCAGGGCGCTTTCGGCTCCTCCCAGATGTACAACAACAACTTTGGGCCCAACTTCCGGGGCCCTGGACCGGGAGGGATTGTCAACTACAACCAGATGCCCCTGGGGCCCTATGTGACCGGTAGGTGCCCGTCTGCTTCGGGCAGCATGCACAGGGGGCCCGCGGCCCCACCTGCCCACCACGGCCCCAGGCAAGCCGAGGCTTTCTCTCTCTCTCTCTCTCTCTGGGACAGACATCTAGCCGTCCCTGCGACTTCCCTCTGCTGCAGCGCTCATTTCCAGCTGAGGTAAGGCTGCCCCTGGATGGTCCACTGTCCTTCAGCTTGGTGAGTCAAGCCTGGCCCAGATCAGCCCTGGTCCATGCGCTGGATTCACACCCCTGAGCCTTGGGGCCTTCACTGCGAAGGAGCTGCCCACTTGCCTGGAGACCCTCTGCCCCAGGTGCCTCTGCCCTGGGGACCCTCTTGGGCCTGGTGTGTCTGGTGTGCACACATGTGACGGTGTGCACGCATGTCCATGGCAGTGAGTCAGGGATCGTGGCCCCCAGTCTGGAACCCTGTCTCCACTGTTCTACGTCCACTGCCTGTTGATGATGGGTACCCCAGGACATCACCTGTCCTCTCAGCCCACCCCTGCCCCTGCCCAGGACCAGGAAGGTGGCTCAGGGTCGAGGTGGGGAGTGTCACTGGCTAGGAGAGGGAGCTTGTTTCTGAGAAGCCGGCAGCTCAGCCTGGCCTCTTCCATCTGGGCTGTCAGCCTCCACCAAGCCAGTCCCCTGGGTGTGGCCACAGCCTGGCCCACCTCAGGCTGCGCAGTCTTGGCTTGGGAGCCCCCACTGATCACGGTGGCTGTGACAGGTGACAGGTGCTTCTCCCTGAGTGGAGACCTGACTGCCCAGCTGCATGACCCGTGATCTGCCCCTTGCAGCCACGCCTGCCGGGCCAGCTGCCTGACTCCCACAGGAGAGAAAAGCTGCCACCTTTCTAGGAGCCATGCCACCTTGGGACAGAAAGGGAAACTGAGTAATGCTGTCACACGGGGGGCGAGGCCCTGCTCTGCTGGGCCAGAGCCCAGAAGTGCCACCTCATCGTAACTCGAGTGTTCCACACGGCGTCATGCCCACGCCACACCGGGATGTGCCCCTCGGTCACTGTTGCCAGAACGACTTCGTAGAAGAGATTCCATTTATTTGTACATCTTTTGCACTTTCCTATTGAAGACTTGAACTCGTTTGTCTTGATAAAATTGAGTGACGTGTGGAGGAATCTGACCTGCAGCACTTACATCCCTCTGTCGACGGGCTCCGGACCGAAGGGAAGCTCCTGGAAGCCCTGCAGCCCATGGACTTGGCCCTGCGGGGGAGGACGCAGCGTCTGCCCTGGGAGCCCTCGGTGCCCCCACCCACTCCGTCCTGTCTGCACTGCCCCTGCTCCGGCCCCTTGCCCGCTTGGGGTCCCCCCAGTGCCAGGGGTCAGGACTGGGGAGCGGCTGCCTGTCTTGAGGGTAGAGACCTGGCTAGTGCCTGGGTCAGGGCAGGGCGTTTATTGCCCCCTCTTCCTGCCAGGGCTGGACACCACCAGGTATGTGCTATCTCCATGGGTGAGGGGGCTCTGTTAGCAGCTGTGTCCCCCTGGCCCAGCATGTCTCCCAGGCGCTGGACTCTGTCATCAGCACTGGAGGGCCTGTGGCTCCTGCCCTGCGCCTGGCAGCGGGGGGTAGGGCCTGCGGGTGTGGGCGTAGGGCCTGCCAGAGTCTTTGTCTTGGGCAACTGCGGAGAGGGGCTTGCCCTCTGTCGGGGTGATGTTGGCATCCCAGTAGGGAGGTCGCAGGGGCATGGAGGGTGGCCCAGGAACCCCTGGCCTGCCCTGTGCCCTGGGAGGCCCATCACACCCACCTCCAGGTACATATTCCCTGTGCGGCCTCATGGCCACAGATGTGGAGAAACCAGGCCACCCCTTGGGGCCTGGAGTCACCCTGTCCTCCTGTCCCTGGAGAAGCCTAGATCTGGACACTTGCCACATGAGTTGTTCTCGCTGTGTTCTCGGATGGCTTGGGGAAAGCTCCGCTTGAAGGCAGGGGACTGGACTCGATGGCCTCTCCAGCCCTCCCCACTGGAGCTTCCTGCCTTGTTTCCTGCCAGGAACCCCCGTCAAAATCCCGGCCCTTCCCGCCTCGGCTGGTGGTCTCTGTGATGGCTGTCGCTGGGACGGGTCAGGGGAGTGGGCCAGGCCTAGGCCTCTGTGTCTGATGCTCCCTCTGGTCCTAGCTCAGCCTGGAAGGGATTTGCAAGTCGTGAGCAGGTGGCTTCCTGGGGAGGTGCTCTGGGTACAGAATCTTGTCTGAGCAAGAGACAGGCTGGGCCAGGGTTGGGGCTAGGGGCACCAGGAGGGGCTCAGCACAGCTCCCTGGCTGGGGCTGGGGCCAGGATTTGGGGGCATGTCTTGGGGACATTTGGCGATTAACCAGCCCTCATAGACCAGATGTCCTCATCTGTAAATGGCTCTCTGAACCCTGGAGGGCTGGACCCCAAGGCCCCTTTCATCTTGGTGTCCCCACGCTCTCGTCTTGATCGGAATCTCCAAGTCCTACCCCACCTCAGCATTGCGGGCGGGCGGAGTGGGGAGCATCCTGGAAGTGGCACGCAGGTTTCCAGGACACACGTGCAGCAGTGGCTGACCCCCCCCTTCTGGGAAGGGCAGAGTCATTGCTGTCCACTGTGCTTCGTCCAGTCCCACGTGCACGTGCGTGTTGTGTTCTCCGGTCAGTGCCTCCCTGCAGAGGCTCCTGGCTCAGGCCATGAGTGAGGTGACTGCCAGGAGCCTCCCCACCACCCCGGGCCCTGTCATGCTCCCCTCCCAGACAGGCTGTCAGCCCTCGGGCTGGCCCCCTTGGGAACAGTGGTGGCCTTTCCTGGCCACAGTGCACAGGTCTTGAGTGTCAGGCCAGGAGGCACATGGTGGCAGGGCGGGAGTCTGCATCTCCACCGCTCTGCTCTGAGGGCTGGGGGTCCCTGCCAGCCCTCCTCCCTAGGAGGACACCCTCTACCCTTCCACCTCTGCCTCCTTCCCAGGCCTCGCCAGTCTCCCCTTTCTCCTCTTCCAGGCCGGAGCTGGGCACCCACGGGTGACCTGGCCCTTGGCACTGCCTGGCCCAGGAAGGGCTCAGCTCTCCACAATCAGCACCCTGGAGGCCCGGGAGCGGGGCTGCGGACAGCTGGGGAGTGGGTTTCTGGCTGACTGGTTTTGGAGAGGAAAAAGAATCTTAAGAATGTTTTCTTCCTGATTTATCAGTTTTCTCCTACCAAAAGTGGTGGTGGAGGGAGTGGGGCATCCACTGTCTTTGGCATCTTCAGGCTGGATTTGGTTTTTGCTGCTGGCAGAATGAGGGTCACTGTGTGCAAGCGGGATCCTCAAGTGCCAGCCAGCACTTTTGTTTCCAGCCACCTTATTATTTAAACCAGTGCTGAGTAGCTTTCTGTTGATCCACCTTTGGGCCACGGTCTCACAAAGCATCGCCTGCTGGGCGCCCGGGTGACGAGGGGAGTTGGTTGGACCGACTGTGTCTGGAGGGCCCCCCTCACACGTGCATGCCACGGAAACACATCCTGAGACCCCATGTGAGGAGACCCACCCTGCAAGCCACCTGCAGAAGCTCCTTTGTTTTCTGCAAATTGTGATCAAGGCCCTGCTGATGCCCACAGCTGGTGCAGGTGCCTCCCTCCTGCCCGTCGGGTGTCCCTTCCCAGGGTCCTCTAGGGGTTCCCCAGCCCAGGTCGGGGGCTGGCTGAGTCTTGCTCCCACGACACCTGTAGCCCTTGTTCCCAAGTGTCCTGTTCCAGGGCTCTTGAGCACCTGAGGGGGTCGCGTAGAGGGTGGGCTCGGGGACCAGAGAACCTCCACAGTGTGGCAGGAGCACAGTGGCGGTCGAAGGGGCTGGGTTGGGAGGCGGGGGCTGACGTCTTGGCCTGGACACGGCCTAGGGTGCCCCCCCACCCCGGCTCCTGCGGTTGTCCTGTGCCCACCACAGTCTCCGTCGAGGAAGCTGGCTCCCGCCCCATTTTATATTTCCAGAAGTTTACAGGTTGTGGTGCATCAGCCCAAAGTCATTGGCGTTGTGTTTTTGGATTTTTTTTAGTTTTCAGATTTTTTTTAAACAAAGTATTTTTTTAGGTACGATAACCCAGAAAGGGCCCGTTGGGTGTGTGTGTGTGTCCTGAACCCCCAACACTGAGATGGGCGCCTGAGCCCCCACTGGCCCCTCTGTGCTCACGCCTGGAGATGAGGGGTTGCTCTGCTCCCTGCGCCAGAGAGCGGAGTGTGGGGAGCCAGCAGCCCAGGCCGGAATCTGGCCCAGCTGAGAGGGGACCCTTCCCCCAGGTACAGCCCCAGGCCAGCCGAGGGGCGGGTTGGCACTTTGGGCCAGTTGGAGGGTCCCGGCCCAGGGCTGGAGCTGAGCCCCCCTGAGTGGTGACTGTCTGTCTTCGGGAGGATGTGGAGGCCCGACATAGACTTAGCCCGCACAGCCCCTTCACTTTGTACTGTGTGTATGTCTTGGTTTTCTGTGTTTTAATAAATCCTTTGGGAAAGGATTGAATCAGTGTTTTCCTGAGATTCTCATTTGGTATAGGAAGGGGGTAAGGGATGGGGGGGCCAGGGAGGGATGTGGGGGGTATGGGGTGTCACTGAAGCCACCTCCCACCTGAGAAGACACAGCCCTTGAGGGTGCTGGGCTCGCTGGGAAGGAGGGGCACCCCAAGGAGGGGCGTGCAGGGATGGTATCTGCCTGTCCCACCCGCGCTCCTAAACACCGACCACTGCATCAGAGAAGCACCGAGCCCCCAGTGACAGCCTCCGCAGACTCTGACCTCTGTCCTGAGGGCACAGCAGCCTCCCAACAGCCAGACAATGTGTGTGTTGGGGTGGGGCACCTCCATTTCTGCCTCACTTGGGAGAGATGGGGAAGGTCTCAGTTCCCAACCTCTGCCTCTCCCCGGGGCCCATCTCCCAGCCCACCCTTGGCCCCAGGCTCAGCCTGTCTGCCGGCCCCCTCCTCCCTCCCTGCTGCCCCTGGCCCAGCCCTACCCAGAGTGCCTTGTACCCTGGAAAGGAGGGGAGCAGAAGGCCGCAGACCCCGATGAGCTTGGGTTTTATTTTGTCATTCCATAAATACGGTGGCTGTGTCTTGGCTGAGTGTCATTGGGAAGTGCGAGGCGTATGGCATCTCTGCCTACGTGGGGAAGCAGTTAGCTGAGGAACCAGAGTCATTAAAAAAAAAGGGAGGGGAAAAAAAGCACATTATTTACACGGGTGGGAGAGAACAGGAGACAGAGCAAGTCCCTCTGGCGTTCCTCCAGACCTTGGAATTGACCACAGATTTGGGATGAGGAATGGTGGGGGCTCCGTGTGTCACTAACAAGGAAGACTGGTCCCGCCCCTGCCCCCAGACCCGGTCTGCCTCCTGTGTCAGGCCCTCCTGGAGGGGACCCCACGGGGTACACTCTGCTTCAAGGGGAAGGCGAGGGGCTGGCTGGCGGGTGGCTGGTGGGCTTCCCTCAACCCAGTAGGGTGAGGCCGGCTGGCCCTAAACCCGTGCCAAGGCCCAGGCCACCCCTCCGTGCCTGCCCCCCCCAGCTCTTCCGTTTCCAGGCCCATCCTGAACCTTCCATCTGAGCCCTCCTCCCCACTCCAGCCCCCGCCTAAATCGGGGGACCCTCCCCCAGGAAGCAGAGCCCTGTCTTCCCCAGGAGTGGGTGTGAAAAACAAGACACCTCAGAACCAGGCTGTGGATGGTGCCCCAGGGCCTGAGGCTGCTTGGGTCCTGCTCTGGGCATTTCTGCCTTGGCTGAGCTCAACTGGGGGCCCTTGTTTCTCCGTTTGGGAAACGTGTGGCCACCAGGGGCTCAGCCTTCTCGGGTGTGGCTCATGGGGGCAGAAGCCCCCACCTCGGGCCCCACTGCAAGCCCCGGTCCCTTTTCCAACAGTGGGTGGGAGGGGGGCAGCAGTGTGGAGGGGGCCCAGCCACTCTCTCCAGTGAGGGGTGGGCCATCTGGCCCCTCAGCACGGCCAGCCACTGGGACTGGCTGAGGGGGCCTGGGACGAAATGCCCAGTGTGGGGCCCTGTCCTCAGAGCAGGACACCCCTGCCCTGTGTGATGGTGGGGAGTGGCTGCAGGCCCGGGACCTCTGCTGGGACAGGCGTTGCCCCCTCCCCACACCCACGGGGTGAAGCTTGTAGGAGACTTGGTGAAGACCTCCAGGGGCTGGGTCTACGAGGAGGGGAAGGTTCTAGCCTCTAGGGTCAGCATAAAGGTTGGGAGTAGAGGAAGTCTCCCCCTCCCGCCTCCGCCCCTGCCTTTGCGGCTTTCTTAAAGCCAATTCCCAGGCCTGGGCCCAGGCAGGACTGGACAGCAAGCCCTTTGAGAATGCGAATGCAGGGAGGGGCGGGGAGGCCCTCTCGGAGCAGCTTCTCTGAAGGGCGAAGCAGGATCCGCGGAGCATGAGGGTTGGGGGTGTGCCGGGTGGGGCGGGAGGCACACGGGGGCCCCTACAGAGTGGCCTGGCACATCTGTAGAGCCTGGCTCCAGCCCCTACATAGCCAGCAAAGGCTGGGGTACCCCCCAGGACCACAGGGGCTGGGGCTCCTGGCTGCAGGCCCTCCACCCCAAATCCCTCCAGCCCCAGGCAGGGGCTGCAAAGGGTCTGACAGTTGTGCTTGTCCTGCCCTCCCTCCCTGTCCCCAAGCTGTTCCAGGCTGGGGTGGGGCCTGGAAGGGAAGGACCAACCCCATCGTCCTCACTTCTCACAGGGTGTGGGGAAGTGGTTGCAGGGGCTGCACTGCAGCCTGCCTGCCCAGGTCCCAAGCTCTGAGCATGTAGACACTTAGCCCCGTGAGACTAATATGTCACCCCCACCCGATCTGGGCCTCAGAGGGGCATCTCTCCTGGGAGAGACTCCCGGGGTCTTTTCCTACATTGTGTGGGCTGCTGCTGGGTGTTCGGGCCCCCAGCCCCTGGGCACGTAGCACGGAAAACCCCAGGGACCCCCCTCAGTGAAAGGGTCTCAGCATGTTCTCTCTGCAGATCCCAAGGCCACCACCCTGGGGCAGAGCAGGGGCGGCCCACCCCAAGAGTGGTCAGCAGCCAGAGTCCAGCTAAGCATGCATGACATCAAAGCATTCTGGCTCAAGGACAGAGGGGCAATGGACTGGGCACCTGGCAGGGACGGCAGGTGGGGCCCTGGAGGGACCTGGGCTGGAGCCCGCTCCCCCAGGCCCCTCCTAAGCACTTGGGCCTCCCTGCCACGCGGCTCATTGATTGTGCGCAGGGAGGAAGACAGGGCGATGAGCCAGAAACCAGACCCTGACATTTTTCGTGCGTCCCCAACTGCAGAGCAGTTCCCCTGGATCCCTGCCCCTGCCCGCAAGGGGGGAGGCGGAGGTCAAGGGACAGCACGAAAGGCCCCTCAGAGACCACTGGGGTGGGTGGCGGTGGAAATGGGGGCAGGGGAAGAATCCGGAGTGAGGCCTGTTGGAAAGAACCTGGAGCCCTCGGCAAGGGGGAGACCCCCAGCAGGGAGACCCAGGGCCCCGGGAGCGGGGGCCACAGGAAGAGCCAGACCCAGTGTCCTCTTTTGCTCCCTGAACACCAGGTCGGGGTTCTCGACAAAGGAGAGATCAGCCCTGCCTGCCCCTAGGACCCAACCGGCTCACGGCCTGGCCTGGCCTTGAGCCTCTGAGGAGGGCCGTGGCTGGGAGAACATGGTGCTGTCTTCTTGGAGGATGAGCAGAGGTGGCAGGCTTGGGTGGGACCGATGGACTGTCCTTCCGCATCAGTGCCCTCTCCCTGGCCTGGTCCGACAGTGGTCCTGCGAAGCGGCAGATGGTGTCTTGCAGCGACAAAGAGATCTTTTCCTGGTGACATCTTGGTGCGTTGTTTTCATTTTGATGCAAACCACACTCTTGACTTGGCTTCAGAGCAGCTTAAGCGAGCGGACAGAGACTAGGAGGGAAACAGACTGTCCGGGCCAGCGGCCGGGGGCTTCTTAGGATCTATAGTCCTTTTTGCTGTAGGGTTTATTGCCCAAAATACTATCGATCTCGTGGATAATGGAAGACGACAGTTTTGGAAGGACCTGTGTGCGAAGATGAGAGCTAATCAGAATTCTACCGAGACTGGCCCGTCCCGGCCCATGGACAAGGTGGGGCGACATTCATCCAGCCATCTGCTGGCCCAGACCGGTCCCGCCATCATCGCATCAGGCTCCAGCTGTAGCAGATGGGGGCCACGCTGCATTTGTATTCCAGAGGTTTGGGGAGGAGAGGAAGCCTGGCCTGGTCTGTACTCTCCCTCTCAAACTCCAGAGTGCTCTGGAACCTTCTAGAAGGACGGCAGCGGCATAAAATGCAGATTTCAGGGCCAGAATGCTGGACTTCCAGACCCCCCAAACTGCTCTGCCCAGCCCTCCCTACCTCAACCGACAGCAACGCCACCCTCCCAGGTGACAAAACCAGAGTCTTTGACTCTGTCCTTCCTCACCCTCGTTCAGCCAGTCATGGGCCCCACTTTTCAAAATCCAGGATCTACCCACTTCTCCCATCTCCGAACCACGGCCATCCTCGCTACTCAGGACTGTCGTCACCTCCCAGCAGATCCCTGCTTCCCCTTCTGCTCCCCAGAGTCTTCCCTCCACTCAGCAGCCAGAGAGAGGGATCCTTTTAAAACCTAGGTCAGACCACGCTCCTCCTCTGCTCCGAATCTCGAATCTCGAGATGGCTCCATCTCACAAACAATGATCACCAACGTCCTTAGAGCGAGGGCGGGACCTGCCCCCTCCTGCCCCTCTCGCCCCTGGGCCCTCTGGCCTCACTGTGGTTCTGGGCTCGTGCCCACCTGCGCCTTCACATCAGCCTGGAACGCTCGCTTCCCACATGTGTGCATGCCCCACTCCTCCCACGTCACTCTCTCAACAAGCTGCCCCTGACGACCCCTTCAACGGGGCCCACGGCCCCCTTCCTCTCTCTCCACCTCCCGACTTGCTCTAGTTTTTCCAATACTGCTTATCACTCTCCGACACACATTCAAATTTCCTTATTTCTCAAGTTTAGTGTTTACTGTCTGTTCTGGCCAGAAAGCGAGCTCTCCAAGAGCAGGGCTCTCTGGCGGCTCCCTGACGCAACCCTGACTCCCGGAACAGTGCCTGGCACATGGCAGGTGCTCCACAAATACGTGCGGCACAAATGACTGACGGAGATGTGAGCTCGGCCCCCAGGCCCCTACTCACCTGTATTGCTCCGATGTTCTCCATTAGCTGGTCCGCACTGGAAGCACCCAGGAGCACGGAGCTGACCCCCTCGTTCCTCAGGCACCAGGCTGGGGCAGCAAGACCACAGGTGAGGGACACGCAGCCACTGCAGGGTTCCCTTCTGGTTAGCCTTGCCCTTGACTGGACCCAGGGAGACCCAGCCTCTTGGCCATGGGGCCAAGGGTGCCTAGGAGGACCTGGCAAGCCCAGCGCTCAGGAGTGCTGGATGAGGGGATGCTGGGGGAGCCCTGGCACTGACTGTCCTGGGTGGAGAGGTGGCCCAAGTGCTCAGGGGCCCC